CCACCAGAAGGACAGCACAAATTCAGGTGGGCCTGGGCAAAAGAGCATTTTTGATGTAGCAGTAGAAGCCAGCCAGTCAGGGACATGCGCACCTGGCCCCCAGCCCCTGGTTCCAGAGCCAGATGGAGCCAGATAGTGGTGTCTGTGCCACAATGCTGGCCTTTCCCTCAGGACACCCACAACCTTCTCTCTCCTGGTCTCTGCTGGCTCAGAAACACCTGCCAGTCAAGTTGCTTGACAGGCCTTGTCCTGGTCCCTGCAGCCTCACCTGAGGGTCAGGCCAGGGGTTAGCTCCTGCCCCAACAGCAAAGGGCAGCACTATAGGAGGTCTCTGAGACAGAATCTCCTAGTTGTCACTAGTTGGCAGTGTCCTCAGCCCCTCCCCAGTAACCCCATTCCCAAGCTCCTTATTAGAGCCTCCCATCAGACACCTACTGTGCAGAATCAGAGGCTGATTCCCAACTCCTTGAGTCAGACCCCCAGGGAGACCCCACACACAGCAGCCAGGGACAAGCAGGGCTCCCAAACTACTCAGCCAGGAGTTAGGCTAATCCCAGCTGAGGTGTGGGAGCCAGCTGGGCCCCCTGTACAGGTCAGCAGGGCCGGGCAAGTCCTGGGCTCAGATGCAGGCTTGGAAGGGCAAAAGCAAAGCAGCCTAGGCCGCTCCCCAGACTCATGTCCTCATTAGCAATCCCACCACACAGAGCGCACCCACAGCCCTCATCAGGTGGCCTGGGAGCATATTGATAGCACTCACATCAACCAGGGAATAGCTGCTGCCCAATCCCAGGCCCCCACGCCTGAGCAGCAGGAGGCTCTGCGTCCCTTCTGATTGGCAGATGCCTGGGCCTACCTGTTCACCCTGCTGGAATCCATTGTTGAGAAGGACTGTCTGTGAGCACCTGACCCCCCAGCCCACTGCTGCCTCCTCCATGGACTCCTTCTTTGGATGTCGCACTTGTTTTCTGTCTTGGATCAGAAACAGTCACAGTTGACCATGGAGGGCTGGAAGAACCACAGTGATTCTGCAGGCCTGGTGGAGGATTCCTAGCTACAGGCTGCCCCCTGCTGCTCCAGGTGGGGGTTGCAACCACCACCGCCCGCAGATATCCCAGCAGGGCTCAGATCTTCAGAAATATAATCCACCCAAAACTTTTCTCCCAGCATGAAGTCAGCTGCCCATCAGTAGGAAGTTGCAGAATAAGGAAAATAAGGACCATGCCCCAGAATATTTTCTCCAATGCTGAACATTTCCACAAGCGCCAGGAATCTAGAGTCTTCCAAAGATAAACCATGGAGTTTATATTTTTTATATAAACAGCTAAAGTAAAGCTGTTTATTGTGGGATGTTTTTCCTCTGGAAAAAAAAAATGTTAAGAGCCAGGCGGGGTGGCACATGACTGTAATTCCAGCTACTCAGGAGACTTAGGCAGGAGGATCACAAATTTGAGGCCAGCCTCAGCAATTTAGCAAGACCTTGTCTAAAAAAAAATTTTAAAGTCTGGGGATGTAGCTCCATGGTACAGTGCTCGCCTAGCATGCAGAGGCCCTGGTCCCCAGACCTGGCAGGGTGCTCCTTGCTGTGCGGTGGGGCCAGGTCTTTCTGAGCTCCAGTTTCTGTCCCTACGTCCACATGTGACCAACTCCAGCTCATCTGACTGCCACCACACTTCAGTGAGGAATGCCAGTGAGCGTGCCATTTGACTGCTATTTTTAATGTAATTATCTATCTGAGAGTTTTAAAATCACATCCCAGAGGCTTGATTGGATTGCAAATGCAATGTGTCTAATTGCTGAAATTTATCAAGGAAGCACCTGGGGAACCAGGAGTAGTCTGGTGTTAGTCAGCTTGCCTGCCCCAGGCCCGAACAAAGCACTGGCTCTCAGAGTCCAGCGGGAGTGGCTTCCTCTGCCAGGCCCTCCACCCATGCCTGTGTCCTTGGACAAGTCACTTGACCCCTTGAAGTTTTTGTTCATTTTCTCATCCATAAAATGCAGCTGATGCTGTTCCTAGGAGATGACCGGGATTGAAGGGAACATCATGTGTTCCTGGCACACAGTGGGGACTGAGTGAAAGATGGGTTTATCCATCATACATCCTGGAAGGAGTCTGAATCCCTATAGTCTGTTCTGTATTGAACTGTGTCCCCCAAATTCATATAGTGAGGCCCCCAGCATCCCAGAATGTGACCTTGTTGGAAAACAGGACCATTGCAGGCGTTATTAGGATGAGGTCACTCTGGAGTAGGGTGGCTGTAATCCTTATAATCCTATAAGAAGGGGGAATTTGGACAGACCCACATACTCAGGACACCATGTTGACATGAGGACAGAGGTCAGAGTGTCACCTCCACAAGCCAAAGAATGCCACAGATGGCAAGGAAACCACCTAGAGCAGGGGAGAGGCCTGGCACAATTCTCCCTCAGCCTTGGAAGGAAGGGACCCATGACACCTCAACTTCAGACCTCTGTCCTCCCGGCTGTGCCATGAGGGACTACTGTTGTTCAAACCACCCCGTGTGTGGCCTTTTGTTACAGCAAACTAACACATAACCCAGGAGACTTCATTAACTATGTCTGCTTCTGAATAATCCTAACCAGTGGGCCCAGCAGGCCGGTCCGAGCCTAGACCGAAGCCCAATTCTCTGGACTCCCAATACAGTGCTCTCTCCACTGCCCCTGAAGGCCATCCTTAGAAGCTCCCATGACTCTCTTAAAGGTGTTTAAGAGTTGTTAAAAAGTCATTATAGCCAAAAAAAAGGAGGGGAGGGGTGGATCCATGAAGAAGGCCAACAGAGCAGAAGAGAGGAAGGGAGAGGGGGGGAGGCCCTGGTAAAGGGGATCTGCCCAACCAAGCTCTTCCTGCACATGAGGAGCCAGCACAACCCTCTCTATAGTGCATCCATTAAAATCACAGGGAAAGAAGGGAAACCAGCAGAGTGTAGTGCAGGTCAGGAGAGGGCAACGGGGAGAGAAAGGGGGGTGCTGGGAATGAGACGGATCAAGTATGTCATGTGCATGTACTAATAGGGCCTTATGAATCCCACTATCATGTATAGTTATAATGCACTAATAAAAAAAAGATATTATTGTCAATGCATCATCTTAGGAATGAGGAAAGTTGGGTGATAAAGTGAGCAAATAAAAACTTGATAAAAATCTGTCAAACCAGGTGCAGTGGCCCACGCCTGTAATCCCAGCAACTCAGGAGGCTGAGGCAGGAGGACCGAAAGTTCAAAGCCAGCCTCAGCAACTTAGTGAGGCCCTAAGCAACTTAGTGATATCTTGTTCCAAACTAAAAAACAAAAAGGGCTGGGACATGGTTTAATGGTAAAGTGCCCCTGGGTTTAATCCCTGGTACCAAGAAGTTATTATTATTTTTGTTGTTGTTGTTAAGCTGGGGCTGGGGACCCAGGGTAGCTCAGTTTGCCTGGTATGCATGAGGCCCTGGGTTCCATCTCCAGTACTGAAAGAAAGAAAAGAAAATTGTTAACCTGATTAGAGTACTATATTAGACAGGAAGGCATTGATATGCAGAACATCGTTTTAAATTATTAAATAGGATATGCTGTGGGAAAATATTCAAATACCACAAAACCACAAAGCAGAAAGTGAAGGCTCCTATAACTCTGCTCCCTAACGATATCTTCTGGAGACCAAGAGGTTCATCCTATCAGCCTTTTTCCTGCGAATCCAACACAGAAATACAATGACGAAAAGAAAATCATAACACGTGCACTGGTTTTTTTATTTGTTTTGTTGTTATCCTTTCATCCAATATTTGTTTTGCTTAATATCATATTGAGAACATCTTTGTAAGTAATGGTATTGCAATTTAACCAGTCTTTCATCAAGTTTAAAAGTAGCTAAATACAGGCAGGTCTTCCCCCAGCTACAGAGGAGAGATGGAGAGTCGTAGCCCACAACTCTGCCTTCTGATGATGTTGCTCAGAAGGTCAGAAGTCCCAGCCTCTCAAAACAAGGAAGCTGGGGTTCTTCCTGCATCCCCCCCTTCCCTGTCTCCTCCACCCAGACCAGGGCATGGTAACCTCACCTGGTTTTTGGCCTTTTCCTGATGATTCTATGCCCTGAAGCTCTCTCAGGATGCAGGATACAGTCCAAAATAGCCCTAGACACCCCCACCCCCACCCCCCATCCCGCGCGTGCACGCGCGCACACACACACACACACACACACCAGCCTCAGGCCTTGCCTCCTCCCCATTTCTCTCAAAATATCCAGCTCTCTTACATCTGAGCTTTTACACTCTCCTGGATTTTTTCACCAGATAAATCTTTTTCACCTGTGAAGGCCAGCTCTTTGGCCTCTGCACCCCTGGGCCCCTGTGCAGGCCTCCACTTGGCACAGTTTTGCCCTTAGCTACTGTGTCTCCTGCCCAGCTGCACAGAAGGGAGCAGCAGGCCCAGCTGCATCAGCCACAGGAAGTCTCAGGGGAGGAACTAGGAATCTGCCAAAGAGAAGAGGGAATGGCACAAAGCCCGCAGAAGCCCAGGCACCGAAGGCCTGGGCAGAAGTGATGGGGGTGGCTGAGCAGGTCAGCTGAGCCAGACCAGGAGAGGCCCTGGGTGCCACCAAGAGAGGGCACCTGAACCAGGTCAGGGCAGAAACAGTCCAGAACAACAGTCCCCCGCCTTGAGTTCTCATGGTTTCCTTCCTAAAATCTAATCTCAAGGTCCAGCTTTTTGGGTGGTAACTGTTGATCTTGGACAGTCTTGTTGGTAAGGACCTCAGATTGCTTATCTGTAGAATGGGGTTAGAGCCTGCCTTGGATGGTTGGGAGGCTCAGCAAGATAAAGGGTGATGCTCTCAACTCTCCTTCACAGAAGGAGCAGCTACTAATAAGGCATCATCATCACGCAGTCCCCGCGGCTGGCCCACATTCAGAACCCCTTCCGTATTCCCAAACAGGAAGCAGAAGCCCAGCAGCCCACCCCTCCCGCGAGCCTGCGGCGACCACCAGAGGGCAGAACCCGGCTATTAGCACTTCTCACCTTAAGGGCCTCGGGCGGATCCCCACGCTCCCCTGCTCCCCGGGATCCCCGGAGGCTGGACTCTGCTGTTCCTTCCCCACAGTGGCGACACCTCGTGCCTTGGGGCGGGGGTGGCGGCTTCTAAACTGGGCATCACACAGGCTAGGAACTCTGCCCCCCACCAGGGCTCGGGTGTCTCACACAATACGGCCACACACGCCCGGGTCCGCCCCTTCCTGGGCACCCTGGGAGCTGCCGTTCCCAGGGCGACAGTCAACACAGGCAGGAGCTCCTTACGCAGCGGGGCTAAGACGTTTCCCAGCCTGGAGGCTTGTGTTCTCATCGGCCACTCTGAGATCGGGGTGCAAGGGGACAGAGGAGGACCCCTGTCAAGCCCTCCAGGACTGAAAGGGAGGGAGGACCTCAGGCAGCACCCCCATGGGGACCCGCCCCACCCCCGGGCTCCAGAGAACCACATCAGCGGGCTACCGACTGCCCACCACCAGGCGGCCGGCCTCAGTCTCCCCGGCTGCCCGAGGTGGCCCTGCGGCCGGCAGGGGTCTCGCTGGTGGCGGCCAGGCCCCGCGGGAGGCCCAGGGCGTGCAGCAGGACCAGCTGTGGCGGGAGCTGGTGGAGGCCGAGGGGCGCGGCCGGCGGCGCTGGTGAGTGTCGGGCTCTGCCTCCTCCTCCCCGACGCCTGCCGTCGACGTCCGGGAGGTCCAGAGAAAGGGAGCCCGGGTGGGAAAGTGATCGGGGCCGCGGGTGCGAGAGAGGCCGGGCCGGGCGCAGGAGCAGAGGAGGTTGCGGGAGGAGGGAGGCCCTCGGGTCCCGGCAGCCCCTGGAGGGGCGAGGTCCCCAGTCCCCCAGAACTGCCCTCGGGCTGGATCCCGGGAGGAGGCCGGGCGAGGCCGAGGGGAAGCCGGGATGGGGCTGGAGCTGCGCTGCGCTGCTCCCGGGCACAGGCCGCCTTCAGCGCCCACTCGGCGGAGACCCCGCGAGCGCTCGGCGCAGCCCCCGCCTTGGCCGCCGCCCCGGGGGGGGGGGGCGCATTCCCAGGACAGCCAAAGACTCGCACGGAGATCGATACAGTCTCCACGTTGTCCTCGGAGGGGATGGCTGCGGGGGAGTGAGCTCACGGAGACCTCTCCGGAGAGGTGACCAGCAGGCGAAGGCGTGAGGAGGGGCGGAGGATGAACTCCATGCATTTAAGAAAAAACAGCAGGGGCTGGGGTTGTGGATCAGTCATCCCCAACCCCTTGTGAGACAGGGTCTTGCTAAACTGCTGAGGCTAGCCTTGAATTTGACATCCTCCTTGTTCAGCCTCCCGTGTCACCGGGATTACAGAAGAATGTGCTGCACACCCGTCCTCGTTTACATTATTAAATGACTAGTTAAAGAGAGCTCTAGAATCTAGCCTTGTCGCAAAACTGAAATTTTACACCTGTTCATTAGCACTGCCTGCTTCCCCTTCCCCACCTTCTGACTTTTTAAGTGCCTCTGATATCAGTATGGTCATGCAGTATGCAAACATCACCCGCACTTTTGCTTTTCCAAGTCTGGCTTACTTAGCTTTATGTCCTCCACGTTCATCCGTGATACAGCATATGGCCGAATCTTCTTCTTTTTAAAAGCTGAATAATATTTATTTATTTGTTTATTTATTTATGGGGAGAGGGAACTAGGGATTGAACTCAGGGGCACCTGATCACTGAGCCCCATCCTCAGTCCTATTTTGTATTTTATTTAGAGACGGGGTCTCAGTGAGTTGCTTAGCGCCTCCCTATTGCTGAGGCTGGCTTCTGTTACACGAGTAGATCACAGTTTTGTTTACCCATCAATTTGCCCATAGATATTTAGGTTCACTCCCCACATGTTGGCAATGGTAAACCATGCTGCAATGAACATGGGAGTGCATATCTCTCTTCAAGATCCAAACTTCAATTTTTTTCAGATAAATATCCGAGGCAGGATTGCTGGACGTTATGGTGGTTCCATTTATAATGTTTTGAGAACTGTCCATGCTGTTTTCCATAGCAGCCGCACTATTTTGCATTTCCCCCAACAGTGTACAAGGTTTCCAATTTCTCCACGACCTTGCCAACACTCGTTGGTTATCTGTTGTGTTCTGATAACAGCCATCCTCCTAACTGGGTGAGAGGGTCTCATTGTGGCTTGGCTTTGCATTACCTTGATGATGAGCAGCTTTGAGCATCTTTTCACATGCCTGATGACATCTGCATGTCTGCCTTGGAAAAGTAGCTATTCGAGCCTAGTTTTCAATTGGATTATTTTGTTTTTTGCTATTAAGCTGTGGGAGTTTGCCATGATTTGGAAGTTAACCCCTTATCAGATAGGTGTTTTGCAAATATTTTCTCCCCTTCCGTACATTGCTCTTTCATGTTGATTGTGTGCTTTGCTGCTCAGAAGTGCTCTCAGTTTGACATAACCCCTCATGTCTACTTTTGCCCTTGTTACCTATAGTTTTGATATCCTATCCATGAAGTCATTGCCAAGACCAGTGGCCTGAAACTTTCTCCTATGGCTTTGAGTTGATTTTGGAGACCATCTAAGAAAAGGGTCCAGATCTATTGTACACCACAAAGGAAACAGGAAGGTTGAAAGGCCTCCTGCAGAATGGCACAGAAGATTTGCACACCAAGCAGGTGTGGGAGGAGGGGCAGGAAGGAGTGAAGGAGGAGGGACATCCCGGCCTAGACACTGGAGTTTGAAAAACTAACAGAGAGGAGCAGGTCCATGACAAAGCTCTGATGAGTTCTAAGTGCCTGGGTCACTGACAAATGGAGTTCCCCAAGGGCAGTGGGAGGTGTGCTTCCAGACACTGAAGACCTTGGGGGAGGATGAGGGCTCCTGGTTCCTGGGAGCTAAGGGAAGTGGGAAAGGAGTGACTGCTAACAGAGATGGGCTTTCTTTTGAGGATGGTGAGAATGCTCTGGACTCAATAGTGGCCATGGTCGTGCAACTTTATGAACATACCAAAAACCCCTGGGTTGTACATTTTAAAAGGGTGAATCTTGTGATATATGAGTTCAATATCAGTTTTTAAAAGGAAAAGGCCAATGTTGACACCAGCAACAAGAACAGGCTTCCCCTGAAGAACACAGAGCATCCATAAGAGAGAACCCAGGACAGACTTGCAGACCTTCCCGAAGATCCCAGAAGTCACCAGGGGACTGAGAAGCCAGAGGAGAAAGCCAGGAGGCCAGGAGGCACAGAGACCAGGAGGCCAGGGTTTTGGAGGCCAGGAGAGCCCCAAGCAGAGCTTGCCAGTAGAAATATAATAAAAGCCACATACACAATTGTAAATTTCTAGTAGCCATCTTTAAAAATGTAACAGGAACATTTTAATAGTAAACTAAACCCAAAATATCCAATTTATTACCATGTCTACATGAGGTCAGTCTATAAAGTTAATGAAGAGACATTTTATATCCCTCTTCGTGCCAAGTCTGAAATCCAGTTTGTACTTACACCAAGAGCACCCTCATGAGGACCTGCCACCTTCCAGGTGTCAGCGAGCCAACCCCATCCCACCTCACCAGAGGGGAGACAGACTCCTAGGAGGAAGGAGCTTTGCCACAGCACACAGGCAGCTGGACACGCATGAGAACTTGGCACCTTTCCTCGGCCCTCCCTAGGGGTCAGCGTGGCTCTGAGAGTCCAAATGACGGAAAGAGCCCTTCCTTGAGCAGCAAAGGGGGGGATGGGATGGGGATGTCAAGACAGTGACAGAGGAACCACAGCAGGCAGCAGAAGGGGACACAGAGCGCCCAGGAGGGCACAGGTGTTACAAGGTGTGGGTCAGAGTCTGCGCCTGGCACAGTTAGACAACCTGGAAAAGTCAAGTAGAACTTCTAGAAATAAAAACATATAAAACTGAAAAGTAGGGCTGGGGTTGTGGCTCAGTGGTAGAGAGCTTGCCTTGTACATGTGAGGCTCTGGTTCGATCCTCAGCAACACATTAAAAAAAGGATAAATAAAATAAAGGTACTGTGTTTATCTACAACTAAAAAATTTAAAAAAAACTGAAAAGTACAACAAACTGAAGTGAGAATTCACGAACTCAAGATAGACTCATATAAATCACTCAGGAAAACAAGAGGGAAACTGAACGAGATGGTCGGAGCTCCCCAAGCCAAAATGAAACATTTGAAGAGCAAATGTGTGGGAATTTTCCAGAACCAAAGAAACATGACTCCACAAATGATGATGGATGTGTTCCTCACAAACAGATTTGAGTTCCCAAAGAGAGAGGCCCCAGGGCAGGGGTGAAGAAAGGGACCAGCCACGTGGTCTTGCAGGGCCAGTCCAGAGCAGGAGGACAGGGCTCCACAGGAAGTCTCTGCAGGAGGCACTGTTAAAGGAGTTGTGGGCCACCTGATGATACTGACTGAATGGACACTCTTGAGAGGGGCTTTAGGATTTTCTTGGAGCATTTGGAATCAATGATCATAGACACCTAGAAAATTGGAAGCAAATGTAATTATTAGACCTAGAAAAAAGACCAAGTTGCATAAGAAAGGAACAGAGACCATATTCTGCTCCTTAGTTCATCAGTGAATAGTATTTTTGATTTATTTTTCCATTGCTGGGAATTAAGCCCAGAGCTGTGAGCATGCTAGGCAGGGGCTCCACTGAACCACACCCGGCCCAAGGAACAGCATTCCTATGACCGTCCCACATAAATAATACATATCAAGCTAACCAAGACCTACAACTAGTTTGGAAGGATGGCGGGAGGGGAGGCAGGTCAGAATGCCAACTCATCCGTCTCCTATAACAGGAAGTCAAAAGAAAGTATAATTTTTTTAAAATCAAGCAAAGGTTAGCATAGGGTTTCAAAATATGAAGGCAGAAGGCTGAAGAAATAGCTAAAAGGCTAGGGACAATTTGACTCTAGGACATGGGCTCAGGAGCTGTGAGGCTAGGTGCAGAGAAAGCTGTATTTATTATGTCTTGTAAAGTTATTTGACTTTAGAAAAATAGATTCCAATAAAAATCCAACTACAAGGGCCTGTCATGCCATTCTCCTACCCCCACCTTCTCTGCACACACCCTGCAAGGTTCCCAAGGCTTGGGGTGTGGAAACTGGCTTTCCTTCACAAAATACTTGAGGTCTTCTAATGTGGCCTTCTGAAAATGCAGAGATGTGGTAAAATTGCAGCCATCCGTTTCCTTAGCAACAGAGTTACCACTCTGGGAAGTCATCAGTCATGAAAATGTGTGTTCACTTTATAGAATGCACCATAAATACCTGGTTGACACTTGGCATTTGTTCCAGTTAAAAATTATTTTAGAACGGGCTTGGTGGTGCATGACTACAATCCCAGCAGCTTGGGAGGCTAAGGCAGGAGAATGGCAAGTTCAAAGCCAACCTCAGCAACTTAGTGAGGCCCCGTCTCAAAATAAAAATAAAAAGGGCTGGGGATGTTGCTCAGTGCTTAAGCACCCCTGGGTCCAGTTTCTATCAGGGCCCAGCCTAATACATATATGTGCCCTGTGGCACATGCCTGTAATCCCAGACTGGTGAAGCTGAGGGGGCAGGATCGCAAGTTTGAGGCCAGCCTCAGAAACTTAGTGAGACCCTCAACAACTAAAGGAGACACTGTCTTAAAATTAAAAAAATAAAATAAAATAGAAAAGGCTAGAGATATAGCTCAGTGGTAAAGCACCTCAGGTTCAATCCCCAGTGCCAAAAAAGAAAAAAAGAAAAGTTATTTGAATTTTTGGTGATGTGATACATAGTGACATGGAATGGTTTACTTGACATAGTGAAAGTCAGTCTTAAAAATGTCTCAGAAAAAAAAAAAAAGTCTCAGAAAGAATTCATGCTGCCCACGTGTTCTTCCTTTCCAGGGTTGAGAACTGGAGTTTCCTGAAAGACTATGACCCGATGGTAAGGCAAAACACGTTCCTGTGAAACACACTTTTAGTGTGAAAATTTATTAACTTTTCCCATACATTCATCTAACATTTACCAAGGATCTACTTTGTGCTTGATACTGGAATGAGGAATAAAATAGCTGTAAGAAACACAGGGTCTGGGAAAAGAAAATATTTATACAGAACATTCAGAACTGTCCCCCTAGTACTTGCTGGTTTTATTGATGTGAGTCAATGGAAATGGCAGGCATTTGCTGATGAGACCCTTCTGCTGATCCAAGATGCATAACATGTGTGTGCCCAGCCAAGGAGGAGAGGGAGCCTGGGTAAAAACACTGAGAACGAATTTCCCGAGTCCTGGCTTTCCTTGGCCTGCAACTCCTTCCTGTCTTCAAAGCCAGATCAAGGTAGTCCCACCTCCAGTCCACCCTCCACTTTGCCACCAGAAACTGTAGCTCCCCCAATGAAAGGCTTTCAATAAATCGGGCACTGTGGCACCAACCTGAAATCCCAAGGACTTGGAAGACTGAGGCAGGAGGATTGCAAATTGGAGGCCAGCTGGGGTGACTTAGAGAGACTCTGCCTGAAATTTTTAAAAAGAGGGCTGGAGGTGTCGCTCAGAGGTAGAGTGCTTGCCCAGCATGCACGAGGCCCTGGGTTCAATCCCCAAAGGAAGGCCACATGGGCAGGGGCTGTCCCGGGTGAAAGCCGGGATCTCCTTATCTGACTGATCATGCTGCTTCTGTCAGATGAAGGGTGGCACAAGATGACCCTAAGGAGGCGCAGATTATTCTTAATTCCCACACACTCGTTGGTGCACTCAGCAGCAGAATTCACCAAGGCCTGTGCTCGGATGCTCAGAGGGCCGACGCATCAGAGCCACAATCTGAAATCACCCCAATAGATTAAGGAGTTGGGGACAGTCACGGAACTCACGTGGTGGAACAGCAGGAGTGATAGAGCTGCAGCCACTCGCTAAACCAGAAGGACCCTCGTGGACATGGTGGTGAAGAAGGAGGCAGACACAAGAGGCAGGAACAGGCTGGAGTTAGAGGTCAGATCAGGTTGCCTTGCCGGTGGAGGCAGTGGCTGGGGGTTGAAAGGAGGGGTCTGGGGAGCTGATTTTTTTTTTTAATCTAGACAGGGTTAGCAGACATGTTTGTAAAAAACTTTTGAGCTATGATCTGTGCATTTTTCTGTATGAATGTTACACTTTAAGTAAAAAAACACGCACACAAACACACACACACCTCTGTCTTCCCTCCATCTGGGAAGAAGAGGCCTAAGGCAAGGTCCCTCCCTCGTTTGCCACAGTCACAGAGGAAAAGTCAGGAGGCCTGGGATGCCTGAGGGTGCCCAGGATGCTGAGGGGCAGACCTGCCACAGCTGCAGAGTCACCCCACTCTTGATGGGAGTCTTTTGTCCAAACAGGGACAGAAACACCTCACACCCACCTGCGGAGGCTGGAGTTGCTCCCACCCAGTGGTAAAGTTGGGGCTCCAACCAGCCGCTTAGTTTAGTTCTGGTACCACATACTTACCCAGCAAGCCACCTGACCTCTGTCCTCTCCATCCTGAGGGCGCCCTGAGCAGCCAGGTCTCTCCTTTTCCCACAAGAGCGTGTGACCCGCGCTGTGCCCCCTCCTCAGGGCAATAAGAAGGAGCCTGAGAAGCTGCCGGACTCCGTGCCCCTCTTCTCGGACACACTCCCCAATTCCACAAACCAGGTTGTGGGCAGCAGGGTGGACACGCCCCTGGGGAGGACCCTCATCCGCATGGACTTCTCTGTCACCGAAGGGGTTCGGAAGAAGAAGCTGGAGGTCGAGCTGCAGCCGGCCTAGGAGCAACCCCGGCCTCCGCAGGTGGGTGTGAGGTGGGGGCCTCGGCAGCCTCCGGAGGGTTCTCTTGGCTCACAGGAGATTAGGAGGATGAGAAACCTGCCAGGACCGCAGAACCCCGGCCACTCCAGCTGCTGCAGCTCAGGAACCAGGACGCCCCGACAGCCTGGGTTCCAATCCTGCTGCCCACCCTGGCCTGCAGCCTCGCTCCAGCCTTGGTGCCTCCTGGCCCAGCTGTGACACGTGTTCCCTCCAGCTGCTGAGTGCCTCAAGACGACATGCGTGTATCATCTTCTGGTTTTGAAGGTTATAAGTAGGATGTGGGTGTCACTGGGCCAAAGTCAAGGGGCCCCGGCGCTGTGAGGGTTAAAGGGGGGCTCCTTTAGGAGGCTGGAGGAGGAGCCCCGGGGTGCCTTAAGTTTCTAGAGGTCACTGGCTTTCTTTGGCCTGCAGGTTCTTCCAGTCTTCAAAGCCAGCTTCGAGGTAGTCTCAAGCACACACCCCTGTCTTTAGACGGCCTCTTGAGGAGAGCAGAAACTGCAGGGACTGGAATGGCTGTTTTTCCTTGACACTTGCTTGGGTTTTATTCAGCCTTACAACTAACCTTGAGTGCTACTGTCATTTATGTGTATTACTGCACTTGATCTTCTCAGCAACCATGTGGGACAAATATTATGATACCCGGCAGGTGGAGCAATCTAGGCACAGAGAAATGAAGTCACTGGCCCAAGGTCACACAGCTGGAAAGTGGTAAAGATGGGGTTCAAACCAGCAGGTCAGCTTAGTTCTAGTACCACATACTTAAGTAGGAGACTATATGCCACCCTTCACTCAGTTCATAGAGTCCCAAATATTTAGCAAGTTATAGGGTTTTCTGCTTAAGGAAAGTCTCCAGGTCCCTGAGAAAGCATCCCACCACCACAAGAACAGGTCCTAGGTGTTACCAGGAGTTGCAGGGCACACTGCTTCCACACGCAGCCCCCTCCCCCAGGTACTCCACTTGCACACCCTGACCCTGCAAGAGTGTGAAGCAAGACCCCAGGCCCCTCTGGCCAGCAGGAGGAAGGGGGCGGGCGCAGCACACAGCCTGCAGGCTGGCTCGGGAGGAGCAGCTTCTTTCTCAGAGTCTGCGATGGAAGCTGGGCTCCCCTCCAACCTGAGATCACATGTCAGGCTAAAGGCAGTAGCCTGCACAGTCAGGGGTCAAGGTCATACCATGGCAGCATCAAATGAAGGTCAAATGCCTGTCCTCAGGCTGGAGGGGTCCAAAGCCAGCTTCTAGGGCTCCTTAAAGACCCCGTCTGAGTTCTTGCCATGAGCATGCATATATATTATTTTTATAACTTCCTAAAAAAAAAAAAAAAAGCACAGTTTCCACTTTAGGAAGAGAACAGAGAGGAGCAAAAGGTATGAGGGACCTTGAGGTCAACTGCCACTGCAGGTGGTGGTGCCTGTGTAGGTTGGAAGGACTCACCAAGAGCTTCTCTACCTGCCCCTGGAGGGAGGGAGGGGGCCAGGGCCAGGGTGGTTCTGCCACTCCTGGGAACACAGACAGTGCAGTGGATAAGCACAGGCTCTGCTTGGCATGGTGCCCAAATCTCTTTCGTGGCTGTTTTTGTCACCGTTTGGTCTCTAAACTGAGCCAAGGGCTTGGATCCAGCTCATTCCAGCTCCAGGTCACAGGGAGAGGGGGAGGAGGCGGGTGCCCAGGGCAGCATCAGCTCCGGGACTGTAGCTTCTGAGCACTCAGGTAGTAAGTACTGAGTGCATCAGCCAGCCGCAGGGACGGCAGGGATGCAATGCAACGTCCCACCCACTGTCTAGCCCACAGGTCTGCATGTCACTGGGGCTCGGCTGACCTTGGCTGCAAGCTTCGACTGCAAATTTTGCCTACATGTTTTCCATCCTCTTGGATCCAGAGCCTCCTGCAGCAGTCTTCTCGTAGCCCACCACCACAGGGCCGGGACCCCTCTGAACCACAGGATGCTCAGTGGCCTCTGCACATAGAGCATGTCTCTGCACTCTGCAGCCAACCTGTGTGGCCCTGGAGATGCTCATGACCAGCCACACTCCCGCCGATCCCTGCCCCACCTGCCTTCTTTTCAAGAGGACATCTGCACTTGACCTTCCCCACCCCTGAGCCACCCACCAGAACCAAGGGAACTGGGACCAGGTTCTGACCCAGTGTCTTGCTTTGTTCCGGAGGCTGGCTGGGCTGGGAGGCCTCAGGGCCCGGGTACAGCAAGAGCAAAAGGGGCATTGTCAACAGAGAGATGTGTGGGTGTCTCAGAGCCAAGGACTGGGCAGCAGCAGGGATCTGGAAGGGACAGGAAGCAGGAGCCAAAGAGCCATCGTGAAGCCTGGAAGGATTCTTCCTTCCCTTCTGATCACTGCTTCTCTGAGCGCCTCGGCCTCATTCTGCTCTCTGGAAGACCTAGCATCTCCGCTTCCACATGATAAAAAAAAAAAAAAAAACAGAACAACCACCATCCAAGTAAGCCAGGAGCACCTTCCTGTGTTAGGAAATAAGGCAGTGTTCAAACTCGATGAGGAACATAAAAGGGACAGAAGAACCAACCTGAAGGGGATCCCACGGGACATATTTGGGACAACAAATATGGAAAATGAAGGACAATAAAACCCATACCCACCAGGCAAGATGGCGCACACCCGTAATCCCACCTACTCCAGAGGCTGAGGCAGGAGGATCACAAGTTTGAGGCCAGCCTGGGCAACTTAGACCCTGTCTCAAAATAAAATAGAAAGGGCTGGGGTGTAGCTCAGTGGTGGAGCACTTGCCAGACATCATGCATGAGACCCAAGGTCCAAGCCCCAGGAACAAAAGAAAAAGAAGAGGCCATACCTGGCTACACCTGAGAAGCCACTTCCCATGGCAGTGCCCACTAACTACATTCAATAACACTAATAATGATAATAATGATAATAAATCTAACAATTTTTAAAATTTCAGGTATCAAGGAGGAACTCTTCTATTGAAGATAAGAAGTTATAGAGTAAATAACAACAAATCACTTTTTCCTTTTTATGGTACTGGGGATTGAACTCAGAGTGCTCAAACACAGAGCCACATTCTAACCTTTTTTTTTTTTTTTTGCTTTTTTTTTTTAGTTTTAGGTGGACACAATGTCTTTATTTTATATTTTTGCTGAGGATCGAACCTAGTACCTTATGCATACTAGGCGAGCGCTCTACCACTGAGCCACAACCCCAGCCCCACTTTTTTTGCATTTTATTTAGAGACAGGGTCTCACTGAGTTGCTTAGGGCCTTGCTGAGTTGCTGAGGCTGGCTTTGAACTTGTGATCCTCCTGCCTCAGCCTTCCAAGACACTGGGATTACAGGTGTGTGCCACCATACCCTAAAATCACCTTTTGGTGCCTGTCATAGCAATACTAATTTAGGTAAGAATAAAAGATACTAAAAACATTGGGCCAAAGATTCTTAGGGAACAGTAAATGCTGAAATCTAGAACATACCACCTTAACCAACTTAATAAACTCAACCCCACAAAGAGCAAGACAACTGACCCAAGGTAGTAAGTCCTCCTGCCAAATATAAGTAAATAAATAGCATAACCTGAGTGTAATCAGCAAAGAACTCCAGGCAAACTCAAACAGAGGGACATTCTGCCAAATAGTTGGCCTTGATTCTTCGAAAACATCCATGTCATGAAAGACAAAGGAAGGCTGGAAAGTGATCCAGACCAGACTGGACAGACCATCCTGGATCCAGCTCCAGGGTTCAAGCAAAGCTGGTTATAAAGGACACTTTGCTGAGTCTTAGAAGATGGACTAAACCTGAGGTGACAACATTGTATCAGTGTCCCACTGCCTGCAGAGTGTGCAGCATGGGATGATTTTTCTGGGGTTACCTAGAACACTCTTGCTCTTAGGAGGCCCCGCTGCTGCAGTCTGTAAAGTGCTGTGAGGTCTATAACAAACTCACCAATAGCTTAACACGAACGTTTGGTGTGTAAATAGAGATAGATAAAGCAATGTGGATAAAGTGTCAACAGCTAGTTAATTTAGATGAAGAGTGAGTGTCCATTGTACTATTTTTTTTTGACCATTCCAAGGGTTTGAGAATTGAAAATAAAAAATAAAGGTGGGAGAATGGCCACCACCAATGGCTCTGGAGTTGGCATCTCCTGGGTTGCAGAGAAGAGCCAGGGAGATAATCAGCACTCCATTTCTAGTCCCCTGTGAAGGTATTCTTTGGTTAGGTGCAGGCAGGGAGCCCATGTGCTCAGCTGTAGCTGAGGAGCAGGGTCAGAATGGTGCCCCTCCAGTGTGAATGTGCAGGGGAGAGGAGAAACGTTCTGTGCCCTGGGGGGCATATCCGAGAGCTATCCCAGTGAGCCAACTGTGGAGACCCTCACCCAGGCACTCTCCAAACTTCGGAAGATAGTTTCAAGGGTCAGCTGTCCTGAGGCCCAAACCTGACTTCATTTAGGGCCTCCCACAGCTGTGAGAGCAGTCAGAGTCCAAGAACCCCAATACTTTTTCTCTAGTTTGCACCTGTTGGGGGGACTACCATATATTGAGCACCTACTAAGTGAATCTCAATACCTCCTGAGGTGCGGATGGTTTTCCCCACTTTAAAATGAAGAAACTGGGATGCAGAGAAGTCAAGCGTTTGTTCATTGAAGACCTTGATGCCTATGCTGGGAGGACCCCTGAGGTCTGCCCACACCCAAGTGCCACACTATCACATCATCACATCTCTGTCTTCACGCCAAGCAGCCACGTGGGGAGAAGTCTCAGAGCCACACAGAAAGCCTCCTGTTACCGCTCTGCCTCACCCGACGAACTCCAGAGCAGACAGCTCCAGAGGCTTCTGTCCCCGCCAGGGCCAGCTTTTGTCCCACCCTAGAGCAGGTGCACTCCCTAGGTGGTCCTGAGAGCACTGATTCCAACCCAGCTCCGGTGACAGCTGGTCCCGGGGGCCGCGGAGAGTCCTGCTGCCTCTCCTGGTCAGTTGCAGGGTCCTCCCGAAGACTGGGAGGATGCACGCACACGAAGTTTAAGCGTCATGGAAAGTTTAAATCTCTGAAAAACCTAAGGAGAAAAAGAAACGAAGACACTTGTAGAGAGTGAATCGCTACAGAACGGCCCTTCCTCCCGCCGAGGGCGCCCGTTTGCCCCGTGCCAACCCAACCGCGGGGAAGCAGAACTGCTGGGGCGCCTCCCGGCGGCTCGGAAGGGTGCGGGTGGGTGGAAAGAGGAAAAGTGAATCAGCAGCGGGCGGGGCCGGGCAGGGTGCGGGGAGCCGCCGCCCCGGGACCGGGCGATCCCGGGGCGGAGCCAGCAGAGCCCGACAGGGCGGCGGGTGATCCAGGCGAGGCGAGGAGCGGAGTGACCAGGGGGCGGGGCGGGCGGGACAACGGACTCCGGCAGTCTGGAGTGGGGTGGTCCCCGCAGCTCAGGGCTAGGGCGGGGCCTGGGCGGGGCGGCAGCCGGGCGGGGGCGGGCGGACGGGAAGGCGGAAGGAGGGTGCGCCTCTGGCTGCAGAGGGTTGAGCCCCGGCTTTCCAGCTGCGATCCGGCCGGCGCCATGGAGGACGCGCTGCTGTGGTTCTGCAACTGGAGCACCCTGGGCGTGTGCGCCGGGCTCAAGCTGCCGCAGATCTACGCGCAGCTGGCGGCGCGCAGCGCGCGGGGCATCAGCCTCCCGAGTTTACTTCTGGAGCTGGCCGGGTAAGGCCCGAGACGGCCTGGCCGCAGCTGGGAGCCCGGAGAGCCGGGCTAATCAAGTACAGCTGGGCAGCTGAGGGTTGTCGGGCGCTTTGGGGCTGGGGCTGCTTCCCGGGTCTGCTCCCACCCTCCTCGGTGCCCTCCTCCAAGCCAGGTGAGGTACGAACTGACTGCTCACGCCCATTTTACACGTGGGAAAGTTGACATCTAGCGGGATCAGCGCTTGGTCCTGTAGTGACAAAACCCACCGCTGTGAGCAAAGCCATTTGCGCCTTGAGCCCTTCATCGTCCCTAAACTTACTCTGCACCGCCGGTCTCTTTTCTGGTCTCGATTCTCTGTCCTCTACGACGAGAGCTTGGACCAAGGTAGAAGGTCCATATTTGGGGAATCAGACCATGGAGATGTCTTTGAAGCTAGAGGAGGAAGGGAACGTGGGTTGGCGCTTGAAAGATGGGCGGGTATCCGACCGGTAGTTAAAGACGAACGTGTGGAGCAGAGTTGTGAAACTTCTGTTTGGGAAAACACGTCCCTGAAACGCGAGGTCTCGACCCTAGTCCCGGCTGGACTCCCGCTCCCCTTCCTCCTGGCCCCCGTCCCCACGGTCACACAGCACCTCCGAGGGCTGGTCCTGCACGCACCCTGCGGAGGCCGGTCCGTGCGCGAGCATTCGGTGTGGGGCACCGATGGGGTTCCCACCAATGGAGGAAACCTTTCCCGAGAAGCTCGGCTGACCCGAGGGCTTGTGACCCCCTCACGGGCTTGTGAATAACCTTACGCTGGGCGCCTCCCACCCCGGCTGGACAAATCTGGAGAGAGCGCGTGGGGCCCACAGTGTGGGAGGCAGCCTGCATTTCAGGTACCGAGGGGGAGAAGCTGGCAGAATGAGGGATAGGGCACAGTACAAGGACTAGGAGTGGCCCCACTGACTGACAGGGCGGGGAATGAGGGCGTGGAAAGCCAGGAGTGGGATTTGGCTCGATCCCTTGCTAAGACACGGTGGCTGCCCGCGTGCAAGATTGGATGAACACTGATGCCTACAGAGTCCCAACCCTCACACCTGCTCTGCCCGCATTCCCGCTAGGGCTGCATGGCTTGGGAAACGCTAATCCACCTGGGGGACAGAGGGGTGGGCCTGTCTTAAATCCGGTGCCAGCTAACGCCTCATCCCACGGCTTACCTAGCTCAAACCCGCCCTGGCAAGGTGGTCTCTCCTGGGCCAGACAGCCCAAACGTTGGGGTTGGGGTGGCGCCTTCAAGCGTGTTGTCTTGCTGTTGATCACCGTGCAGATAGAGGAGGCTCTTCAGTTCGCTGGCCGCCAGCCTGCATGTCTGCCTCCAGGGCAGTGCCAGGGCCCAGCCCGCAGACTTGAGCGGGCTGTAATAAAGCCCACCTCCAAAGTCACCCTCCCTTCCAAGGCCTGATGAAGTGATTAGGCTCCACCCTGGATTCCAGTAGCTTTCTCTGCCTCCCTCCCCAGCAACTGTTCTTCAGGACTTGGGGCTCAGAGCACTTTCTGCAAGCCCTCTCCTGGCACCTTGGGTTTTGCCTTACTTAATCCGAACAACTGCTTTAGGAAGTACGGATTGTTTTTATCCCCAGACAATAGAACAATAGGAGTTGGCGGGGCAGTTCCACAGGAACTTGCCCTGTGCATCCTGGCTGCTCCCCCAACCCTTTCCCCTCTCTTCTTTCCCCCTCCTTCCCTGGGGAGGTGGTCAGGACCAAGCAGAGACACTGCAGGCCTGAACCCTGTTGGGCCATGCCCAGCTTTCTGGCCCGGACCAGGGGGCTAACAAAGTGAGAGCAGGAGGGTCTACCACCATCAGACAGCTTAGAGGCAGGACAGTCTCTGGTAAGGACATGGACCCTCTTTTGGACCCCCTTCTGAGCAAACAAACTATAAAACATTTTTTTGAGATACGTGTGTCAACTGGAGCATGAGCCAGAGGGACCTGGGGAGACCCAGATCAGTCAGATCTCTCTGATCACTCAGGGAGGGGAGCCACTTGGGCTGGGTCTTCAGGAGGGCCAGGAGATAGCTGTGTGGACTAAGGGTTTCTCCAGGCTGGGGGCCTTCTGGAACTGAAGCTCAGGCAGGAACAGAAACAGTGAGACTAGAAGATGTGTTCAGACCAAAGAAGGAAGATGAAGACATCTTCACCCCTTTTAAAGTATTCTCTGTGCATGTCCGACAGACCAGGAGCCAGGCCCCGGAGCATCTCCACTTACAGATGGGGACACCCAGGCTCTGAGTGGTGTTAGGAAGTGTGCCCAGGGATCTAGCTCAGGGTAGTTCTGAACCCCTCTGCCTCTCTTAGGGCTCCACATTCTTGACCTTCATCCCAAGGCCACACGGTGAACACCTACCATGGGAGGGAGCCCAGGAAGGGACTTGGGAGCTGGCTGGGGCTTCACACCCAAGAACAGGATCACTGCTGATAGCTGTTATCAGTTTTACCCAGAGGTGGCCTCTGGGGAAGATTCTTTTGGAAAAAAACTGGTTCAAATACAGACTCTGCCCCCTTCTCTTGGGCTACTTGCTTTGTGTATTTTTTTGTTTAAACCTCCAGCCTGTGTGCGGTAGCAGAAAACTCAAATGACTCCTCAGAGCAGACAAGGGATATAAACAGGACAGTGGCTGGGTGCCAGATGATGTCTGGCTTGGTTTTATTATAATGGACATTTTAACTATTACTTTTTAATTTGAAAAAATAATTTAAAAAGAAATAAAAAACACTGCTGCACCCTCCCAGGCCACAGGAGAGGTGGGAAACTTGAGCCCCCTCTAAAAGCCGATGGCACCAGAGGACCAGCCTGGGAGTAGAGGACCAAGCTTGGGGCTGCAGGCAGCACCCTGGCTGGCACGAGGAAATCCAGGCTTTTCATCTTGTCCCTGAGTTCCTATATGGCCTTGGCTTCTTTGGGCCTCAGTTTCCCCAAGTGGTCTGTAAGGTATGGGCACGAGTGTGGAGGTTCCTGAAGGTGTGCACACTGACCTTGCAGGAGCCTGTTCTGCAGGTCTCTGGCTGTGTTCCAGGAGGTTTGCACTGTGACAGAGACCCAGGTCCTGGCATTCAGCTCAGCAGCAGCCTCCCCTCCCCCAGGGCCCTGGGGGCAGGGTGGGAGGAGAGTCTGGGAACAGCCCCCACGTACACCTGTTCCTCCTTGAAGCTAAGTCAACTGCAAAGCACCCCCACCCAGACCCTGCAGGCAGCCAGGCTTTGGGGACCCTGCTGTCATGTAGAGGCTGACCCCTGAGGGTCTGGCCTCACAATCTGTGACCACCTGCAGCTAAGCCTAGATACTGTCAGGAACAGGAGCGCAGGCCCAGGCCCCAGCCACCATATGCTTTGCTAACAAGGGTTTTCTGCTGCCCCTACCAGCTTAGGAAGGACCCTGTGGAAAGCACCAGCCCCTCCTGTGGGCCCCTTCCTTCCTGTCCCTGGGGAGCAATGGACGTGAGAGATACAGCTGGGCAGGGGACAGCGCCTGAGAGAACAGCAGGGGATTCTGGCTGAGGGAAGAGGCTGGGCTAGGCCCTGTGTGAGCCAGAGGGCAGGACTGCGCCAGGCTGCACTCTCAACAAGGCCAGGATCGTGGGGTCTCCAGCCCCTTACCCCCAACCTCTTACCCAGCTAGGCGGTTCCTAGTGGCCTGGAGGGTGTTCTTCCTTCCTCTCCCCCTGGCTGTGGGAGGCACCTTAGGCGACAGGTAGCATCCTTCTGCCTTAGAGCAGCCCTACCTCTGCCAGCCTTCCATTAAGCCCCCTCAGGCCCCACCCACCATCCAGGGATGCCCCTGCTCCCCTGGGATCCTTTCTGCCTAAGCCACCTCTTAGGGTGACAGCAGTGAGTGCCACCTTGGGAGTGGCGTCTCCAGGGGACTCCCGAGAGCCCAGCGTTGCAGACTGGGGGACCTGGGTCCAGAAGCTGCACCCTTGTGATCCTGGTCAGCGCTTCGCCCTGTGTGGAACCTTCTTGGTAAACAGCCATCTTCAAGGACCCCACCACCATGGTTTGTGTTGCACTCCCGCCCAGCACCCAGCCATTCTGGGTGCCCCAGGTCCTGCACGTTTCATCCACCCTATTCCAACTTCTGTTCCGTGGCACATGGGTTCCAAGCCATCAGCTCTTAGCAACAAACACACCTGTGTTTGGGGCCTGGCTGGGGGCAGGGTGGCCCGGGAACGTTTGTGCTCCCTCTTTGCAGGTTCCTGGTCTTCCTGCGCTACCAGTGTTACTACGGGAACCCGCTGCTCACCTACCTGGAGTACCCCATTCTCATCGCTCAAGGTAAGGCCCTTGGCCCCTTCTCCGGGCAGCCTCCGAGCCCCTCCTCCTCTCACGCAGAGCCTTTCCTTCCAGATGTCGCCCTCCTGCTCTGTGTCTTTCATTTTAACGGAAACATGAAACAGGCCGCGCCCTACATAGCTGTGTATCCTTTCAGCATCTGAGTGAGAAGGTTGCAGGGCGGGTGTGGCTCAGGGATGCAGCACTTGCCTAGTAGTGTGAGGCCCTGGGGTCCGTCCCCAGCTCCCAGTTGGGAAAAAAAGAAAGAAAGAAAGAAATGGGGTCTGGGGTACTTGCTAACAGCAACGCATTTTGAAGCAGGTCAGTACCAGCTGTATGGTTTTTGGTTAAACTAAAATGTCTGTGTACTCGGACCCTCACACAGGCCCTGCCAGTGGCCTCCCAGGGACAGGGCGCCTGGGTGTGCTGTGCATCACCTGGTAGGTAGGTTTAGCATCTCCCTGCTGACGTATAGAATCAGCCCTGCCAAGAGCGGCATCTCCTATCTTATTTGTTTATCTGAGACTTTTCTTCCTTGCCCGAAATATTCTGCCAGATTATTAAGTAATGACCATGAGAGCACCTGGCATCCAACCCCCTGCCACTGACACACCCGGTTGACCTCCTGGCCTGTGGGCTACAGGGTGTGGGCCTGTGATGGCTGACTCACGGTGCCAGTCCCTCTGGGTCAAGGCAGGGCATGTCATGGTGGGAGCCTGGCTGCTCTCACCTGAGTGAGGGCGAGGCCTGGGTTCGGCCGTTGGTGAGCACTGGCTGTCACTCTGGTTCAACTTCACACCCCTGGAAGGGCTGGGGGAGCCTTCACTGGAGGGGCCAGCTCACTAATCCTCCGCACCCTTTTCCTGCAGGGCTTCACACCCTTTTTGGGGGGGGGGAGGGTGGTGCTTAAGCGAGTCCCAACCCTCTGCTGTCTCCCGAGTCCCTGTTCTGTGGCTCTGTTTCCCGCAGCACAGGGCCCGCAGAGCTGTGCCGCTTGTACTCTCAGGTTAGACCAGGTGGGCTAAGGGTTTTGAAAATAGTACTTGCAAGATGAAAAGCATTATGTGATTTGCTTTTTAAACAAAGTAGAGCAGCTTATCGATGTGCAAATGCTGAGACTGCAGATGACAACACCTGGATGTTGACAGTAAACTATTCACGTAACTGGGCACTGAAGTCTGGAATATCTGCAGATGTTTTTACCCTTCTGACAGTGGAGACCTACAGAAAGCAAATAAGGAGGTCGCCATAGTCACAATAAATATATATATTTAGCACAAGTATATCCCCAATATGGCATGGGACATACTTTAGTCCAAAAATTTTTTGGTTAATCTGAAGTTCAGAATTTGACTGGGCATCCTGTATTTCTCTTTTTCTTTTCTTTTTAAATTTTTTTTTTAGTTATTGATAGAAATTTATTTGTATTTACATGCGGTGCTGAGAATCGAACCCAGTGCCTCACACATGCTAGGCAAGTGCTCTACCGCTGAGCTCAACCCCAGCCCCGTCCTGGGTTTTTCTCTGGGGAATCTGGTAATGCTGCGAATGAGTCATCTGTGGAATTTCAGTAGCTTCTATTACTGGTCAAATTTTATAAAGTGCTGCATGTATATTGAGAATAAATAGAATGAAGTGGGCTGGTACAGAATCGAGGGGAGAAAAAGTCACAAGAAGAAGTTGAAGGAATCGAGTTAGAGAGTGCTGTGGAAGTGGGTTGTGTCCAGTTGGATCCCGGCTGCCTCTGGTGTACCTGCTACCCAAGGCACCATCTTATTCAATCCTCGCATTATTAATGTAATGAGTTACAATAACAGCCATCTCCTGGGCTCCTCCTGTGTACTGAGGGCTTTTAGGAAGTAGGCAGGGCAGAGAATGGCAAGTCCATTGAGCAGGTGAGCAAACTAAGACATGGAAAGTGAGTTGCCCCAGCCCCCAGGGACACCTGGCCGCCCCTCCTGGACTTGCTGGTCCTGCAGCGTCATTGAGCTCCACACACCGGCCAGAATGGAAATCCAGATCGTTTCTCCCCTCTCAGCATTGCCCACCCCCCCCCCCCCCCCCCCCCCCCGCTGTTTAAATTTTAAAAGAGAGTTGGTGGGAAAGGGGGAAGGAAGTCAGTCAGAAGGTCACTGCACCCGTTCTGCAGAAATTCCTGCTTTGTAGGGTTGGACTTCTTTTGGGGCTGTGGGCAGGGGTTGAACCTGGAGGTGCTTAACAACTGAGCCACATCCCCAACCTTTTTAATTTTTTATTTATTTTTTAATTATTATGATTTTTATTTGTTCTACTTAGTTGTATGTGACAGCAGAATTTCTTTCAATTCATCATACACAAACGGAGTGCAAATTCTCGGGTTGTACATGGCGTAGAGATAGACCATTCGTGCAGTCATACATGTACCTGGGGTAATGGTGTCCATCTCATTCCGCCATCTTTCCTACCCCCATAATCCCTCCCCACCCTCCTTTTGCCCCATCCAAAGTTCCTCCATTCTATTTTGAGACAGGGTCTCACAAAGTTTCTTAGGGACTCGATAAGTTGCTGAGGCTGGCCTTGAATTGGTGATCCTCCCACCTCAGCCTCCTAGAGACTGGGAATACAGGCATGCACCACCATGCCCAGCGTGAGTGCTTAACTTTAGACAGTAAGTTGGAGATGTCCGCCTGTAGGGAATAAGGAACATTCCAGCCCCAGGGAATAGTCCCTGAGCACTGGGGTCTCTGTGTGTTTCTTCTGGGATCTGCTTCTGCTCCTTTAACTTCAAGCTCATGTCCACTTGCAGCCCTTTTGGTCTTTTCCAAGTCCAGCAAGTTCTAGCAGAACAGGCCCCAGTTCCACCCGTGGCTTATCCTCTTGGTGCATCTATAGGAGATGGGAGGGGGGTGGAGCTGCCAGCAACCTGCTGCCATGTCCCTTAGCACGTGGTAAGATTTGTGTCTTCTTGGTTCATCCTCAGCCTGCAGAAGTGGATCATTGACCTGGCCATGGTGAGTGTTGCCCCTATGACACACCCGCGGCCCATCCCACAGTATGTAACTGTTGACCACATGTACTAGTCAGAGGACAAAGGATTTACTGAGTTAGAGAACTTCTTTCTGGGTTGATAATTGTGTATTGGCCACATACTCATTCTTTTTCTAGCTTTGCCCCACCCCAAACATTTTTTTTTCCTCTTTGAAAAAGGTCTTATTTTTTCCTAACTTAGCTCAGAGCCAAAACTTCCCATGGGATTCTGAGAGTGGGTCAGGATGCCCTTGCCCACAGATCTTTCCAAGATGACAGAAGCGAATGTCGCTCCTTAATGCGAGAAGGGGAGCTCACTGGTGGTCACAGGCCACTGTCTGCCACATGCAAACTCATGGATTTCACTCCCACCCCCACAACCTGTCCTTGACTTGGTGGCTGGGTGCAGCAGTGCCGCCTGGAGCCTGGCCACCCTGTGGTCCAGGGTGGTATTCTCTTGCATGCCGACCTGGGAGTCTTCGCTGGGAACTCGGGTGCCTCCTGCAGCAGGTCACTGTGTTCTGGTCTCTGGGGCTGAGGAGGCTGCAGCAGCTGTGAGCCTTCACCCTGCGGAAGGTGGGAAGCTGGCGGTGCAGGCTCCTGGAGAGTCAGGCCCGAAGGTCAAGGCCGTGGTGCTGGGTGCTCTTCTGTGCTCTCACCAGCCCTCCTGAGATAACACTTCATGACCTCCATTTGCCCTTCCCCTCTGTGGTCTGTCCTTCAGGCCTGTGTACCTGCTCCATGGCAGCCGGGGGGCCTGGGGACAGGGTAGTGGGTGTCCGCATGTCGTGGAGCTGCAGAGCAGCCAAACGGCGGATGGCTTCCCTGGGAGACCTGAACCCCACTCTCACCCCCCCCCCCCCGTTTATTCACAGAGGAGGGCGAGGCTCTTCAGAGTGTCCTGCAGCAGCTGGAGCTGCCCTGCTCCTCTCTATTCTGGTCCTAGTTTGGAAGGTCTTAGGGGCACCACGCTGTCCTGGTAATATGTGTATTAAGACGGGACACTTCTCAGTTATGGTCCCCCCCCCCAAAAAAAAAAAAAAAAAGACCACTTCAAGATTTCACAGATGGCTTTTCTCCTGGAAAGATGAGCCCGGAAGAATCCAGAGGGCAAGCTTCTGTGCAGCAGGTCGGTCTCCTGGCTCCTCCCCGGCTCTGTGTGGCCTGGGGCCCTGGGGCTGGCCTCAGATGCGAGTGTCCCTCTGCAGTCCTCCCTCCTCTGTCTGCCCAGCTCTCCAGATTGCCCACGAGCCTCTTTCCTCACAGGTCTACTTGCTTGGGGCTAGTCTAGCCACCGTCTGCACCTGGCACCACCTGGGTGACCTCAGTGGCCTCCCTGCAGGGACCCAGTGGCTGGACTTGCAGGTGCTGTAGGCCTGGCCCTGGTGGGCTACAGGCTAATTTTTGAGGCTTTCTGATTTCACAGGTTGCAGAGGACCCAAGCGCATCTCCATGTGGATTAGAGCAGCCAGGACTTCAGGGGGATGGGCTGCCACTGGCCGCTTTGAGTTTAGGAGTGATTTTTCTTTAAAAGCACTGTATCTGGTGCTCTGATGGGTCTGACTTTCTTATGTTTCATCTGCAAACAGAACTTATGTACGTTCATCAGCGCGGCCAGTAAGTTCGCCCAGCTCCAGTATCTGTGGAAAGTGCAAGACTCGGGGGCCGTGAGCGCGCTGACCTGGGGCCTCGCTGCGTACACCTGTGCAAGTAAGGACGTGGGGTGGCCCCTGCCAGCATCCTGACTCCCCAGAAGTGGTGAACTTGGTTTCCAAACATCGTGGTCTCTTGGCCTTGATACTTTGCAAACAGCTATTCAGATAGAGCCTGCTAACTAAGAGTATCCACATTTACAAGTGGATTCAATGTCCTCTGCTCACCACTTTCTGCAAGATCCGTATTTTGTATTCTAGTGGCCAAAAAATAAACGGAGGTGAAAGTACACTTTCCTCCAAATATCTGGCCTCATGTTAATAGTCCTCTGAAAAGCACGGAGACTGATTATATTGAGACCACTGATATATTTTTAAACTTTGAATCTTAACAATTTAATGAATTAAACAGATGAAAACCATGTTAGCAGCTGGCAGTGGTGGTGCACACCCGTGGTCTCAGCAACTTGGGAGGCCAAGGCAGGGGGATCACAGAAGGGCTGGGAGTGTGGCTCTGTGGTAGAGGGCTGCTGGGTTCAACCCCCAGTACCATAAAGGAAGGAAGGAAAGGGAGGGAGGGAGGGAGAAAATCACACGTTGTTTTTTGAGAATGAATATCACCAATTTGTACCAATGGAGATTTTCTGCCGTCATATTGTTTGGTCTTCATTTTAGAATTTCCACTATTCATTTGGACTCTTACAAGAACCACCCAGAGGGGCTGGGCCTGGGGCTCAGTGGTAGTGCACTTGCCTTGCATGTGTGAGGCCCTGGGTTCAATTCTCAGCACCACATATAAATAAATGAATAAAATAAAGGTCCATCAACAACTAAAAAAATAAAAAATAAAAAAGAACTACTTAGAATACATAAACATATATGCTACGTGTAAATAGATATATTTTTGTAATTCAGAGATACCACAGTGGCTTTATAGGACTTTAGTTTTACTATTTTAATTATAATTCATGGTTCATCTACAACTTATAGGACCAACTTCTCCATCCATAGAAATTGCTGGTTTGAGGTTTTCAGTGTCTAAAGTTACTTAAAATGACTTAAGTTTTATTTTTAGCTTTCAAATGTTTAAGGATTAATGTGTTTTACATCTATGATTTCTTCTGGAATTGCTAATTAGATATATTACTTATTAGCTCCCAAATTTATCTTCAGACCTGTTGCTTATTAAATTTTCTCTTAGAAAGCCCCCTGCAGAGATGAGTCTATTATCGCAACCTCTCTCCCATGGCACTTTGTACTTAATGAGGACTTAGGTGTTTGTTGAATAGGTGAAAAATGCACAGAGGACTATCCGTTTCTTTTCTTTGCAGTGCTGAGGATCAAACCCAGGGCCTCACTCATGCTAGGCAAGTGCTGTACCACTGAGCCACATCCCTAGGCCCTTGTGATTTCATGGGAAAAAGTAAACTGCTTCAAACCCAGTGTTCTTTTTGAGAGATGGGGGTAAGGACTTCCACACCGCTGTGGAAAGCATGGAGTCTGCATCTTTAGCATCCCTCCTGGTTCCTTGCCCCGGCTACTGTTTTTAGCCCTTGGAGCTAGTCACTGCCACGTAGCATCTCTTCTCTAGTCACCGTGCTGCCAAAGAGGTCTCTTGAATTTGTCACACTGAAATTTGGCCATCCATCTCTCCAGCTGCCCCCTCCACCCCAGGTGCCTGGTCTCTGCCCTTCAGGCTTGTGGTTTAGCTGGAAGATGAGACCAAAAAGCTACATGTCAATATGCACTAAGTGCAGAGCATGGTAGCAGAGGGCAAGCGCCTCTGGAGGGTTGGTTTGGTGAGAATGTGTGCTTTGTGCTGCAGGAGGTGGGGTTCTTGATCCAATTTCACCCTGATGTGCGCTGGTTTAAATTGCTACCCCAGAATCCTGTTTATTATGTGAAAGCTTCTTCCAGAAAAATGAGCCAGAACTGAACAGTTCTGATTAGACTCAGGCACCCTTACCCATTTCTGGCCCTCAGTTTCCTTACCTGTGAAATCCAAGGTAGATCTCAGTGATTTCAATGCACTGTTTTAAGTTGGTAGGAGCCTTTCTTTAATGAAACTACCAGGAAGCTCAATATGCAAATGAGTCTTTTAAATTTGCTTTTGAGGGTGGGGGTTGTGGGTTGGCACAGAGACAGTGGAAGGAGAGCTCAGCCTCTTCCTCTTCCTCTTCTGTAGTTGGCCGAACTCAGCTACTTCCTAGAAACTGTCTGTGCTCTTAGGAGCAGTTTGTAAACCACTGTGCCGGGAAGCATGGCTGGTGTTTGGATGGTTCTGGAATGTAGTGCTAGTTAGTGATCTGACCTAACAAAATCTTCCAAGACTGGTTAGTATATATTGGCATGTTAAAAGGGAACGACATTAGCTCAACACCCAAATGCCTGACAAGCAAGTTATTTATTGCTGCCAATTTTCTTTTACAGCAAGAATAATAACAACTTTAATGACCACCAATGATTTTACAAGTAAGCAAAAGTACTTTTCTTCCCGCTTCCTGTTTGGGTTCTATTTGTGCCTCTTTGGAAACTGTCTTTCCTAGATCAGCTTGGCTCTCGGGATATAGAGTCAGGATGGCAAAAGCGTGTTCCTCATCGGTCACCATTTTTATTGCTAAGCGACTACTTGGAGTACCTGGGATAGACTAGGCACGAGGGTAGACTCCACTGCAGAATGAAAATGGGCAGTGCAGGAACCACACGCTTAGCTACTCGGGAGGCTGAGGCAGGGGGATGGCTGGAGCCAGGCAGGTCTGGACAACATGAAACCAGGTCTTTTTTTAAGTGTAAGGAGCAGGGCAGGATGCGCACCTGATGGGAACCCGACCTCTGCGGGAGCTGAGGGGATTGAAGAAGACAGAGATCTTACAGCAGAAGAGAGACTTGGTCAGAGAGGTAGAGAGACCCTTACAAGGCACAGCACAGGTGAAGGCTGGGAGCAAAGAGGACTCAGGCCTAGAGAGGCCGAGAGGCCCCTGAGTCTGGCAGCACTGAGCAGGAGAGCGGGGAGAAAATCGGAGGAGGAGGAGAGTGCGGGGCTGGGGCAGGGCCTTCCCAGCTGAAGAAGGGCCACAGGAGAAGCCTCTGAAGCTCTGTAGAGCCGGGAGTGGCTCCTCACCGGATGAGGAGAGAGTGGTGGAGGAGAAAGTGCTCTGGTTAGAGTTTAGTAGTTCCTCAGGCTAATGTTCAACTCCCAGGTCGAGCCTGATGGATATTATAAATCTTTGGAAAAAAATTAGAACACACTAATTTTTCTGTTCACCTATCCAATGAAAATTAGAAAACGTCCCCAGCACACAGACCCTTAAATAAGCTAACTATTTGAGACTTATTGCTTCAGAACAGGGAAATGCATTTGATTGTCCTTTCCCAGAAGCCTGTCCCTTTGGCCCAGACTTTTTTTTATCAGCTCTGATTGTAGGATTAAAATTATTCTAATTAAGCCAGGCATGGTGGCATATGCCTGTAATCCCGGCCACTAGGGAGGCTGAGGCAGGAGGATTGTGAGTTTGAGGCCAGCCTTGGCAATTTAGCAAGACCGTGTCTCAAAATAAAAAATAAAAGAGCTGGGGATGTGACTTAGCGGTAAAATGCCCCTGGGTTCAATTTAATACTATTAAAAAAAAAAACACTATTCTGATGAAAGGATCCAGTTAGATCAGGTGGGAGAGTGAGGATGGAGACAGGCCTGGGTCTCCCTCAGGACTTGAAGACTTCTTAGCAGGGAGAGTCAAAGGGTAACTAACCAAAACAGACCTACAGATGAGAAACCAAGTTCCAAAGACCAAGAATAACGCTTCTTGCTTGTGGTTGCTGTTCCTGAAAATGACCAGCGTGTTTGATGGCTGTTTTAAATAGTGTGGCTTACCTGTTTTACCATCACAAAGGTATTTTAAACCTCATAAACCTTATTTATCAGGAGTGGATTGCCTTAAAGGCACTGTAACAGTGACCTCTTTATTTCACAGAATCACGGTTTTATGGTGACTTCATTATAAAATATGCTTCAATATCTGACCTGTTCTTCAGAATTAACCTTAATGGAATGCATTAGGCTACAGAGAACACAGAACCGTCTGAGACAGCAGCGCCCCTTATGTGAAATGAGGAAAGGGATTTAAAAAGTTGTACTTCTCAGCCAGAGCCAGACCTCTCTCAAGCATGAAAGATGATTAGGGGTTAGCGTGAGGTCAGATCGGTGGCTGCAGGCAGACATCATGACAGGAAGCTCATTTCCCGGCGTGTCTGATCCACAGATGGATTTCATTCTGGGTTGGGGGTGAAACTTGATGTGGCTGCTGCTAGAGCAGGAAGTGGTTTCCCTCCATGATGTGACAAGCTCTTAATACCCGTTCTCCTTCTTTCTGGTTTTTTAGTTCTTATTCGTTTTGTGATCATGCTGGCTTTAAACATATGGGTAACAGCTACAGTACTTCGCTACCGGAAGCCCGTCATAAAGGCTGAATGACGGACCTTATTGCTACACAAAAAGTGGATTTTGAGTAACTGAAGCAAAGGAAAAAGCAGCTCATTGCTACGTGAAGGTCTTTTATGTATTTAGTCAATCATTTCAGGAAACTTTGAAGTCAGAGGTATTTAGGACTTCAAAGAGTACTTAAACTTGTTTTAAAAAATGCCAGTTTTGCTGGGTATGGTGGCATATGCCTGTAATTGCAGGTACTCAGAAGGCTGAGGTAGGAGGATGACAGGTTTCAGGTCAGCCTGGGTAACTTGAGGAGACCCTGTTTCAAAATAAAATAAGGGCTGGTGTGTTTCTCATGGTAGAGCGCTTGCTTTGCATATGTGAGACCCAGGGATCAATACCCAGGACCAGGGAGAAACGTCTTAGAAGGCGGGTTTCCCTCCCTTTCCCCACTCCTGAGGTCACAGCCAGGCTGACAGCTCATTTTTGATATCTGCAGTGACCCACAGAAGATGCTCAAGCAGCCTACGAGCCCTCGTTCTTCAAGTCATGATTAAGTACTTTCTGAAAAGCCAACTACATCTATTTTTCAGGTTTCAAAATCTTTTAAGTAATAACTTCTTTCCACAATTAAAATGAACACGGAATGAGATTCTGCTCAGTTGGGAAATGAAACTGCAATATATCAGCAGGGCTCGCTCTGGGCCTGCTTAATTGTAACACAAATAAAACAGCACAGCCTGGCTTGATGCTACACACCTGCCGGGCTAAGCAGGGAGAGCTAAGCACCTCCTGGGAAGGCTGGTGTTCTGTGCTCAGTGTCCTTTGGCTTCACCCTGTGCCTTTGAATATTTCTATAAAATGGTACTGATAGTTGTAATCTCCACTGAGGATGAGGAAATGTATCCCAGGGAACTTCCCAGTTTAATCACAATGCTACCATTTAAAAAGGGCTACACCTGTATCATTACTGGGTTTCGGTATAAGACACCACTTTTTACCTATTGAAAATATAGTAGTAAAGGGCAGTGCTAGGTTCTGTCTAAAGCTTATGGATTTTATTCTTATAGTATCTTGTCCTAAACATGTTAAGAGTATTCCCTAACATTTCGAAACTCAAATCCCCCTTCTACGTGAATGGTATTATTCTCTTATATGCAGTAAGTAAGCAATGTTTACTAGTATACGTTTACTTTCCTGTGAACCTGTGTATAATAAACTTTCATATTTTGGACTCTGATTGATTGATTGATTGATGCTGGGGATTGAAACTAGGGTCACATACATGCTAGGCAAGCACTCTACCACTAAGCTTTAATGTAATTTTTGAAGTTATGTAATTTTTCAATAAACTGGTTACTTATTTCAGAACTACCGCTTGGGATCATGAGGAAGAAAAATACTGTATTGAAAACCCCAAAGACGGGCTGGGGATGTGGCTCAAGTGGTAGCGCGCTTGCCTGGCATGTGTGCGGCCCGGGTTCGATCCTCAGCACCACATACAAACAAAGATGTTGTGTCCGCCGAAAACTAAACAAAATAAATAAATAAATAAAAAAGAAGAAAACCCCAAAGACTCGGAAGGCAGAGACAGGAGGGTCCAAGCTGGAGGCCAGTCTGGGAAAGACAGTGGGACTGTGACTCAAAAGAAAAAAATGCTGGGGGTAGCTCAATGGTAGTGTCCCTAGGTTCAATCCCAGTAGCAGAAACTAAAATTAAAAAAAAAAAAAAATCATTCTCATGTAGCTGTTTTGATCATAGATGGCCTTTAAAAAAATCCAAGTTGATATTTCCTCATATACACTTATAACCTATTAGTGCAAATGCAAATTATGTGATTTTTTATTCCAATGAAGGTTTTGATATACTTTATCATTGCTTAAAATAACTCCCTTAAGAACATATCTAAGAAGAGTTCTCCGATTTTTCCTCTTTGGGAAGGAACAAACATTTTAATTATTCCAGACACACATTTAATCCTTCATTTAACAGGTAAAAACATTGAGGTGAGTGCAGCTGTGGTCTAGACCACGCCAGCCCATGCTTTATACCCAGGTTTTAGGGAAGACAAATTTTTTGGTAAGCTTTAGAAAGCTGTAGCATTCCAGGACTATTTCACAGGCAAAGTATGAAAATGCTTACATCTTAATTATTTATTTATTTTTTTATAAAAAGCAGGCATAAAATACAATTACATTTCTACAAAGATGCAATAAAATTAAAAAAAAATCAAGGGGGCACGATTTTTGTTCATGGGGACAATTGATCAGCTATTTATGATGATCTAAACCATGCAGTTCATAACTTATTACAATCCCAAACATACGTCACCATGGGGAAGGGAATCAGGCGAGGCCCCAGGCGTGACACCCACACTGTCACACAGTGCTCTTCTTCAAAGTGCTTTAGGGCCGAGGCACCTTCACAAGCTAGGGGAGCTGAAGCCTCCGCCAGGCGAGGGAGCGAATCAGTAGCAGTGTCACCGGGGACTGAGAGGCTCAGTGAGGTAGGTGCTGAGGGGTGTAGACACCTACTCAGAGCCTTCTCAGTGAGGTGAGTGTAGTGTCTGAGTGTCTGCTCTACCCTCAGAGTCCTATGAGAAGGACGAGCAGCAGCATCAGCAGCAGGACTTGTGAAACTGCGCGTGGTGGCCTAGGGCTTCCCGGGTAGGATCCATGTACTGACTGAGGCCCAGCAGCCCCGCAGAGGCGCATCCTGGACCCCGGCACTGCTGCAGTTCCAAAAGCGCTCACTGGTTATACGTGCCCTACCCATTAGTCAGCTACAGCATTTTAAACTTTCAGATTTTTTTAAAAAAATCTTGCTTCTAGATAGGTCTTCAAAAATTAATACTTAAAAAAATTCATTATACATTAATCTTCAACAGTAATACCGGCACTAGTTTTACTTCTGTCTCGCTATCCCCACAAAAGTAAAAAAAAAATTAAACTAAGAAAATCCCAGTATTCACTCTTTCTTAGTTCCCATAGGAGGTATTCGTGGCTCTAGGAGAAATCAGGTGTGAAGAAATAAACAGAATTTGGTCTTATAAATATCTTAGAAATTCTGGAACCTCAAGAAAAAGAAACTGGCACAAAATCAGGTTGTTTCATATTTACCAAGTGTTGGGAAGAAAATGTGGACAGATGTGTACATGAAGGTGGCAACTGGGGAAAAAGCAAATTCTCACCCAAGGTCAGAATTTTTTATTAAGCACATTTCCATTAGTTGGACAAACAACCTTATAAATCTTTTTATCAAACCATATAATGTGAAGAATCTCCATGGGAGAGATTTTTTTCTCACCCCTCAGAAAATCTTTTCCCCTAAATACTTCATATTAATTTTTCTTGTACAGTTGTATCACACCATGATTCTCCCTGTTCATATATATACACATATGCATATATGTATATACATATACACGTACAGCATTCAAAATTCAAACTTTTGCTTTTTACTCAGATACTTCAATTACTCGTGTAAACTTGAAATTATTTCACCTTAATAAAGTTTATTAAAAAATATATATATATATATATATATACTCTCCAATTCAGAATAATAGGATAGAACCTCCCATAGTGTAACAAAATCTTTATATAAAATATTAATTCAGTCTCCTTTTAACAACTCTAATGAATGGAATATTTCTTCTATATAAATTTTATATATTTTTCATTTTATTCATTTTAATCTTTAAAAAAAAAAAAGCAAGCTGTGTCCCAGCCAGCACTGCAGGACGCACCTGCGAGGGAAGTGGCAGCACGTCGAGTGTTAGCACAGAAGCAGGGAAGAGCGCAGAGCCAACAGCATGAGAAGAGCAGAATTCAGCTCAGAATATCAGTAGGCCAAAGTGCACTCTGTAACTCCCACAAAAGTATCTACAATGGGGACTCAACTCTTCAAACATCTCTGCATTAACCCCAGAGGGAAGCAATGAGAAATGTCTACTTCCTTCATTGAAATACTGGATGATACATTTCGATCATACCAAACTCTGTGTGTGTACACAGGAGAGCCTGATAAAAGACTGATTTTTTAAAAACTTGATGCCTACCATTGCTGCATACTGTTGCAGTACAAAACATACTTATCTGGGATAATGAGAAACACAGCAGGAATGGTCCTGCATAAATTTTAGTCTTCAGAACATTTTAAAAATAAAAATTTAATTGGGTGCCTTTGAGGCTGCTTCCCCCCAGTCACTGATTTTCTTAACCCAATACTGAGATACCACCAGACACAGTTGTGTGTTTAAGGATCACATTTAAATATTTAAAATATATCTACAGTATATCCTAGTTTTCTTTATATTTGAGACAATTTTTAAATCTTGAGTGTGAAAATGTAAAAATAGTCACAAATGTCTTTACCAGAAATAAAAACACATCTAAGGTGGCCAGTAAGTTCAAAGCAAAGAGAACATTTTGTAGTCACAGACTAATACTGAGGTCTGTAGAAAGGGATAGATGAATAAAGATATACAACAAAGATATATTAGTTCCAATACTAGCCATTATTGTTTCTAAGACCAATACATTAAAAAAATTGTTATACAATCAAAATAGGCTGACATTGATAGAACTATGTGTAAAAATAGTGCACTATTTTTTTTTTTTTTTACCCTAAGCAACTTTGCATCCTAAGAGCTGGTAAACACTTGTTCTTTTTTTCTTAAATACAGAAAGGATGAGACTTTGAAAAAAAATTAAATTAAGGCATTCAAAATGGGTAAGGTTGTCTATCATGAAGCATTAGGAAACTGATATAATTAACTTCAAACTTCTTATTACAGCAACTGTTTAAACATGAACATGCAGCTTCTATTAGGTGCAGGGGAAAGTGAATCAACTCCACATTATGGCTTTATACAAGTGCATAGTTGCAACTGAAATAATGATATCTGATTAATGTATATAAAAAAATAAAATGGGGAGTTAAAAAAACCCTCTTGCAGTATTACAGTACTATATGTGTGTGTGCACATACATACACACACAGTATCATGGTCACATCTTAAAGATGCAGTCAATATCATTGTAGTGGAATCCATTCCCAGGTTCTTCTGGCAGATGTGCTGGTGAAATCTCTCTATTGAAGCTGAAAAGATGATTTCTTCAATATTTAACTCTTCTCAATTCTTCTGTGCAATGTAGTGTGAGTGACTGCCAAGAGAGCTTTATGAAACAAGTTTGGGAGAGTTGCAGATGATATCCTTATTCTATTAACCAACTGCTGTTGGTTCAACTTGTTTGAAAGAAGCTCGGAAAACCTCTCCAAGACTTGTCATTGATATTACAGGAAAAAGGAAACACATATATGTATGTGTATACATCAGTCTCTCTGGAAAATATAGATTTTTAATAAATTTCGGGTCATCATATTTCAGTCTTATTTTAACTGGAAGAATATGATCACCTTGAATGACTGCTTTCATAGAAGGCAGTTAGCTGGAAAGAAAGGAAAGATAAAAGTTAGTTGATAGTAAAATAATTTAAGAGACTGTTAAGTTCCTTGAAAAGGCATTTCAATTCATACTTTTAAATTATACTGTCTTCCAACTGCTATATTTTTAACACCTAAAATCATGCATAAGCATAGTAACTGTATTACTTTTCTTATTTTTTTAGGTACATGCAATTATATTGCTTTTCAATACAACAATGGACTTTGGAAGTCCCATAGTGGTTACAAACATTACACACAGTTTTAATGCAGTTAACAAGATATTAGGGTTAAACAATATGCCACTAATAACACATCTGAATTGAAGTTTGATGTGAGGTTTAACTGCTAGCTGCCTCATGTATTTGAAAGAGCAGTGGTCTTAAGGGCCAAGATCTACTTGGCTGTTTGGCCCTAAGCCACATTTTTCTTATTTATGAAACAGGAACAAACACAATGTTATAGTAAAGATGCTCCATAAAACCTGCATATAAACAGATCCCAATATCACATGATGTAAGTACACGTTTTGCAACATGCTGACTTAGTGTAAGACAGGTATTACTTCCTCTAAATGCAGTCTACGTAAAAGATTGAGGTCACGAGGCTCAACTTTCATTCCATTTCCTTTAATCACTATTAAACACACTATTTGATGTTTTCTAAAAGCACGGGAATTTTCACGGCATATCATTTGCATTCTTCAGCAAGGGTAACACTGAGTTCTTGCAACATCTCATCACATCACAAAGAAAGCCAAATCAGAAATAGCAATCACAGCACTTAGCAAACTTAGAAAGTTTTTATGGTTTGAATTCTTGCAAACTAGAGAAGGAAAGAGGGAGGAGAAAGGGATGGAGGAGGAAAGTAATCCCATGCTATGTTCACAAACTAGTGCAGCTGTCGGAGCTTCAGAACACTGTAATTTTACTTCTCTGAACACGGCTTCTTTGGAATGAATAGAAAGTACCAGAATTAGCTCCTTTTGTTATTTCTACATGTTTCATTCCCAAGATAAAAATTTTTAATTTTGACAATACTGAGAATTTATAGACAATAGAGAATCTGAACATAGCATTTTACTTTTATACTTCACATGGAAATTTCAGTTAGAAACTTTTCTGTAAACTCTTTTTTAACATAGACTATTAAAAGCAACTTTACAAAATTTCAAAACTAGCGGAAAAATAATGAAAGCCCAACTGCAAACCACATGCTCTTCACGGAAGTGCTAAAATAACTTTTTTTTCCATTTTTTTGATTTACCCCATTTATTTCTTCAGAAATCAAAAACATCGTCATCATCATCACCATCATCAACATCATCAAATGACCAATCCCAGTCTTTAAATGCCAAATCAAGCAATCTGCAATAGGAGGTTTGCAAATTTATACTCTTAACATTCTTTATAAAGTACAGCTTAATGCTATGATGAGAAATCATATTTCAAATGTGATGTAAGCATTTTCACTTTCCCTTCACCAATAACATAATTAAAATTAAGATGGATGCATAAAAGAAAACTTTCCCTTTGTATGTAAATGTACACAATTATGTTGGCCAGGTACGCTTTCTAGAATACTAGTTAACTAAAGACAGAGATAATATCTGGGAAAATATCATACAATCTGCTTCCTCCTCCTCGTCCCCACTGCCCAGATAAAGATGTAACTGTCCTGCTACTCAGTCTGAGAAACATGAAGGCTCAACAGCTGCCAATATTCCTTTCACAGCAGTGCCTAGATTATCCACTCACATTTCTCCACAATAGCACCACAAAGCCTAAAAGAAAAGGGGAGGGATACCCTAGGAACGCAGTCTTTCCAATACCAACAGTGCCCTACCTAGCTCAGGAGGTCACCAACACCTATGCTCTACATGTGAAAAGGTAGACACAAAGAAAAGGCTACAGGTATATAAGCGACATGGATAACTTATCTTGGCTAAATAAATTTTACTTAGTGCTGGGGTTTTGTCTTCTCTCCAATCCAATAATAAGTAACACTGAAATCATTGTATTAAAAAAATAGGAGTTATCGTTCATTATTTATAACTGTGACATTCATCGATTTGTGCCAAGGAACTCACTGGTCCCCAAAATCTCACCTGGGATCACTACGTCCCCCCCAGTGGTTCTCAACTTTAGAGAATATGATCTTCGGAATGCTCTTTGAAACTTTGACAAAACAGGTTTATGGATGTTATCTTAAAACTAAACAAACCAACTAAAATTCTTGTCTTCTAAAGTGGCAGAACAAGGAAAATCTGAGAAAACAAACTGTGGGGCACGGTGGTGCAAACCTGTGATCTCAGTGGTACAGGAGGCTTAAGCAGGAGGCTCCTCAGTTCAAAGCCAGCTTCAACAACTTAGCAAGGACCTAAGCAGTAAGAGTCTGTCTCTAAAGAAAATATAAAAAAGGGATGGGATGGGGGGCTCAGTGGTTAAGGCCCCAAGGTTCAATCCCCAGTACCAATAAATAAATAAACAAACACAAACTTTGATATAATTTTACTTATTATCTATTTGCAGATCACAGCTTGGTATACACTAATTTTATGAGGCTAAAGTAACTTTTAACTTTTGTTTCAACTTGGAAGATTACTATAGGTAGGGCTTCCTAGATTCCTGGAAGATCACTATAGGTAAGCCTCAGTTTCAGCACATTTTATGAAAAATCAGCATTTCATACCCTTCCAGAAGCTCTGAAGTATGTGTCAGTACCACAATCTCAAGTTTCACAGTCCAGTCACACAGTTGCTGTGTGCAATACATGATAGGGCTTCCCTAAGACCTCTCTTTCATCCCTTCTATTCAGTCATTTAACTTTGGTTTTTTCAACTTTAAAAATTTTAATCTTTTTGAATTTATGTTTCTTTCCTCCCTTTTCACTGTCAGTTCTCAGTTCAGGTTCTCATTAAGTTTGAACAGACCAATCCCTCATTGAAATACCTATATTTGTAGAACAAAATCAAAGTTCCTCAGCAACGTGCAGCTGGTTCTTAAGTTAGGTTCAAAACTTCCTTGTCAGCATCATGTCATCTTCTACCACTTCCTACCGTCACTTGCTCCTGACCCCACTGTGGCTCGTTTCACACATGAGCAATTCGGACAGCTTCATTCTTCTGCATGTGACATTTTGCCTGGAATTGTTTTTGCCCTTATTTGTTTGCCTGGAAAATTAACGATTCTCCATTTTTTGTAAACCTTTCACCCCACTCCCACCCCAATTTTGGGTATTAAACCCAGGGGCACTCTACCCACTGAGCCACATTTATTGAGACGGAGTTTCCCTAGGTTGCTGAGGCTGGCCTTGAACTTGCAGTCCTCCTACCTCAGCCTTCCAAGCTGCTAGGATCACATGTGTGCACCACTGTGCTGGGCTTGAGACCTCCCTTCATACCTCCAGCAGAATTCACCATGCTTTCCTTTGGCGTTCCATGTCTCTATTGCAGGCAACATTTTATAGGGCAGTTCAATTATCCGTTTGCCTGTTTCCTCCATTAACTGGTAAGTTACACCTCAGGACTTCGAGACTAACTATCAAAGAATGCTTCAGAGGGTGCACTGAATTTTGAGTTCTACCAGCAATACACAAGAACATTCACTTCTATCTTACAATACTGAGTTTCTTAATCCTTGCCAGTTTGGCAGGTGAGAAATGGTTTTATGTTATACCTGTAATTCTTTGCTTAATAATTATTTTGATCACATTTTTACTTTTAAAAGCTACTTCTAGAGTAGTGCCTCAATGGTTTTCACTACTTTTATATTAAGATAAGGCAGTTAATGATTTAAAAGACATCCTGTTTGTTTTGCAATGCTAGGGACTGAAACCAGGGCCTCTTGCATGCAAATACTCTGCAACTGAGCTACACCCAACAGCATCTAAAATATTTTTGTATACAAAAATATCAACCCAGACTATTCATATATACGTTGAAAATATTTGGTATTTTAATTTATTATAAAATGGTGTTTCAAACTTTTACAAGGCTTTAATTTCAGAATAGTAATCTCTATATAGTCACTTAATTTATTCCATTTATTTAGTTGGCTTATTTCAACACTTTTAAGTTATATACAATTTTATCATTTTTCCCACATAATTAGTCTGCTAGCTTTCTAGCACTTAGAAGTAGAAAAGAATGAATATAAGATCACCATGACACAAAAGCTCTCCTCACCCTGAAGTTTTAATTATGCTGGCATTTTCCCCCTTAAAACCAGATAGCACCACAATGAGCACTAGTTGAATTTCTGCTTTATACTTTCCAGAATGGTTTAAATATTGTATTTTTTAAAAAAGACCCCAGGGGGAAAGGAGCAAGAAATGCACCCCAGCCAGGCCAGTACTTTTGTGTCTTGTATTGAAACAAATTATTTTATCTCCCTGTCTTCATCAAGTTAGCATTTTATTTTTAAAAATCTACTTTCCAGCACAGTATCTTAATTTTAATGGAAAATCATCAAGGTAGCACTCATTTAGAATACTGTTTCTATACATTATGCTTCTTAAATGGTCAATTAACTTCTATTTATACCACAGAGAGGCCAATAGTGGAGTGTTGTAGTTCATAGTGCAGGCTCTGAAACTAAATTGTTTGGACCTAAATTCATAATCCTACAGCTTTCTGCTGTGTGATCTAGGGCAAAACCGTGCCTCAGTTTCCTTATCTATTAAGTGGAGGTACGAATAGCTATCTCACGGTGGTTTTGAGGGTAAGTAAGTACAGCAAAAGCTCTCAGAAGAGGACCTGGCATATAATGAGCATTCAAAACAGTTCTTTTATGTAATAATAATAGCTACCATTCATCTATTACTTTAATCACTTCACTAGAGAAAAGGGGAAGTGATGTAGTAAGAGTTGATTGGAATCTAGAATGTCACAGATGCTAAAGGAAAACAGATAACAGAGCAACTGTTAACAAAGAAAGATACCATCAAAAGATTAGGCAAATATTTATGGACATGCTTTATTTAGTATGTATACAAATATATGCATAGGATGTGCCTAACAAAGCCAAAGAGCTATTTTAAGAAGAAAACCAAGTGTATTAGTTCAACTAAAGCCAGACTGGCTAGTACTAAGACTAATATTAAGTATACATAAACTTAAGAGCTAGAGGGGCTGGGTTGTGGCTCAGCGGTAGAGCGCTCTCCTAGCACGTGCTAGGCCCTGGGTTCGATCCTCAGCACCACATAAATAAAAGATATTGTGTCCAACAGGAACTAAAAAATAAATATTAAAAAACAAAACAAAACAACAAAAACAAAAACAAAAAAACCTTAAGAGCTAGATATTAAACCACTGCTGTTAAAACACCAGAAATTCTATCCCTATGTTTTCTTGGATGGTTCTTTACCATCTCTACCCATCTGTATAGTATGGTATGAATGGGCAGAATGTTAAAGGTCATCTCGTCTGAAACTAGACCACCTAGAGAACATGCCATCTAATGTCTTCAAACCTGCATGTCTGCACAGAAAATACAGAGGTAAGCAGCTCCAGCAAAGTCTCACTTAGGGCCCACTGAGAGGGCATGAAGGTCATGCAAATATCTGGTGATAGGGAACTCACTGTTCCAGAATAAGCCAATTCTTCCAATTTTAGAAACCCCTGAATGCCTGATAGGTTTCCCTTACTGAACTGAAAATGTACCTCTCTAATTGGGTTTGTTCCAATACATTTTCCAAGGAAATTCTTCTTTCTTTTTAAATAATAAAATATCTTTGCTTCTTTCATGTGCTACATGTACAATACTTTCATATGACCCACTAATAACCTCATTCATTCTTTTCTATATGCCTTCCAATTTGTGTACATGGCTCTTAAAATGAAAACATAAACACCCAAAATAAAATACCAATTGTTGGGCTGGGGATGTGGGCTCAAGCGGTAACGTGCTCGCCTGGCATGCGCGGGGCGCTGGGTTTGATCCTCAGCACCACATAAAAGTAAAATAAAGATGTTGTGTCCACTGAAAACTGAAAAATAAATATTAAAAAAATTCTCTCTATCTCTCTCTTAAAAAAAAAAACCAATTGTAGGTGATTCCTGGAAGACAGACATGTAAAACTCACAATTTGTGAGTTATTGGAACAATGGAGACACTGATGAACAGTGGAAGAGATGTTTCAGAGGCATAACAAAACCTGATTATATATATTTTTTAAATATTTTTTTAATTGTCAATGGACCTTTATTTTATTTATTGATACATGGTGCTGAGAATTGAAACCATGACTCACACACACTAGTCAAGTGCTCTGCCACTGAGCCACAATCCTAGCCCAAAATCTGATTATACTTTAAACGTGCCCATCTTTTATGTTTAGAATTTTAGAGTGCATGAAATTTAAGATTTTTCAAAGCATACTCCATACATTGTTTAGTTTTAATATTAGTTTTACCTATATGCATGATTATGAGAGAAAGAAATCCCTATTACTTACTGTTGGTACAACAGATCAAAAAAAAAAAAGAATAATAATTTGAAGGGCAGGGCAAGTTAAAAAAAAAAAAAGTGACAAAAATCAAAAGTAAATGTGCTTTCAAATACACCACAATGCTAATTTGGAGTGGAGGCAAGAGAAGTTATTCATAAATCAGTGACCATGAAAACAGAAGGTTAAGTCAACGAAAGCATGCCACACTTGGTCTGAAAAATGGTTCATAAACTAATTCTGTATGTTATCACATTCAGGGAAATCATTAACTTATATCAAAAGGAATAGGGTTGTTCCAGTTTCAGATTTAAACAAACTGTTTGCCCTTCTGGAATATTAATTTTAAAAAAAAGATAACAAGACTGTGCTACTTCATGAAACCATTGTAAAGATCAAATGAGAGAAAATAAGGAAGTTAAGCAGAGAGCACAATATATATGAAGTTGAAAACCACTACCCGTTTAAAAGGTGCTTTGGTTTGGATGTACCCCTTGATCCCCATTGCAGTGGTGTTGAGAGGTGGGACCTCTGGGAGGTATTTGGGTCATAAGGGTCCATTTCTAGATTAACAGGTTACTATGGTAACAGCTACACTGTAAAAAGCAAGCTCTCTCTGGCAGCTGGCTGTACCACCATATGAGGCACTCTGCCACGTGATAATACGACAGGAAGGCCCTCATCAGATGCTGGTGCCGTGGACTTCCCAGCAAACCACATCTAAATAAACCTCTTTTCTTTGTAAATTATCCTGTCTGTGATACTGAGTTAAAGCAAGAGAAAACAGACTATGACATAAGGTATTAAGACAGCACTTATGCATTAATAGTTCAACAAAATTAATAACAAAAACTTAATTTTTAGATGTTTTGCACAAGACACATGAAATGGTCTTTACTGTTTCTATCATATAAACACTATTTTTAAATATTTAGTTTTATCATACCTCACACAAAATAACATTTTCACTGATGACACACCCATTCTACCTCTGTCATTCTAAATTATTTCCTTGAGATATTAGTTTCAAGAAAGTTTCATATAAGTTGTGTGTGGTTAGAGTAAGATTTCTGATAATACAGCCAATCATCATTATTCATATACTGAAGGTCTTGTGTTAGGGAACAAAAAGGATACCTGAAATTAAATTTCTGAACTAAGCATATACTTTTTCCTTAGTTGACCAAATCCTCATGCTCAATTAATATTAATGCTTATAAACCCTGCAGTAGCTAGTAAGCCAAGACATGGATAATTCCAAACGGAAAGTTATTAAATGACTTATTATAGTCACATGAAAATGGCTCCATTAAAATGCTTTTGTGCTTAATGAACATTCCTAACTTAACTCTATTGAATTTCAAGTCACTAGTTAATATTTACATTTTAAAATCTTGTCTATGTTTCTGTTTAAGTCACAGACAAGTCACTGCTTTAAACTAATAGAAGTAAATTAAGCCTGAATCTGATTTCAGTTCTGCCTCCCAAGTCACCTATCAGAAAAGAGAGTTAGCAGTATGAAACACAGTGGAAGATCTGGGTGCAATGAAATGCCATTTCCCAAGTCACTAAATTAGTCAATGTATTTATTAAACCTGAAAACATTATGTTTATATGCAAAAATATGTCAAAAGCAAGTCCTTTAAAAATATTTGGTATTCCATTGTTCATTAAAATACCAAGTAAGAGTTGGGGCTATAGCTTGGTGGTACAGTACAGGGCTTGCCTAGCCTTGCAAGACCCTGGGGTCAATCCTCAATGATGCAAAAACAAATAGAATTTTTTAAAAAAGAAGGAGGGCTGGGGCTGTAGCCCAATAGCAGAGCTCTTGCCCAGCATGTGTGAGGCACTGGGTTTGATCCTCAGCACCACAAAATAAATAAATAAATGAATAAATAAATAAATAAATAATCAAACAAAATAAAGGCATTCTGTCCATCTACAACTACAAAAAAAAATTTAAAAGAAAGAAGTAAAGTTATAGTTTGAATTAGTATGGACATAAATAGCAAAATTTTAATAAAGGAACTTTTATCACAAATTTTAATTTATTACCTTGGTTTGTTTGGGGCAAGCTGTCGACTTGGCCGTCTGATAGACTGGTTTTGTTGGATCTTCATTGAAGTTCTAGGAGATGACCGTGCAAAAGGGTCTGGAGCAGGGGGCTTTTTAGGTATCTTTTTCACCAACCGACTAACCCACTTCTGCTGCTCTTCTGTAGAATTTGCTAATAACAATAGATTCTTTGCCGTTGATATATCATAATACACTATAAAGAAATATTTGGAATCAATTAATATGCTTAAAATGACCTGAACATAAATAATACTAATACAGTAAGAAATTCTCATTTACCTTTGCAAGGTGCTATAATTTCCTCCTTTTTGTCCATGTGATCTTTATGACATTTAATATGGCAACGGCGACACTCTAAAGCAGGAGGGGGCTTAAACATGTGCCACAGTGGCTTCATACAAGCCTCACAGTTGGTTGGGAAATGATATAGAGTAGGAATAAATTCATGCCCTTTGTGACAAATATAATTAGATTTTTCTCCCACTGGCTCCACTGGAAATTCTTGTTCCTTTTTACTTTCTCCTTCATTGGCATACAGAATCTATCAAAAGAACAATCATTTCTAGATGTAAGTTTTTTTTTTTTTTTAATGTAGAAACAACTCTGGTAGTGTAAATAAAATCAATTTAGCCTAAATTACTCTGTAAAAAGAAAATGCATTTGAAGTTTAAATCTAAGCAGGTTCTGCCTAAAGAAAAGCTATGTGAAAAGTCATCAGAGGGTCACTTTGCTTTGCATTTCAAAAGAAATAATTCTGTTCAAATGCTGTCTCATAGATTTTTCTGGAAATCTTATTATGCTTCAGCAACACTATCAGAATGGACCAGCAAAAGATAAATCTGAAATTCACAGGTCCAATCCTCAAACAGATTGTTCAAGATCATCACCTGGGAATTGGGAGTGTAGTAGGTCATTGGTGGACCCAGGCATTCGGTTCAACCTCCAGGATACCCGCTCCCCCTCAAAAAACCACCAACAGATTCACAAAATAAACAAACCAAAAAAAAAAAAAATCCCAATCACCTGATAAGAACTGGGTAGAGGTTCTCAGCTCACTAGTAGAGTGCTTGCCTTGCATGCAGGAGGTCCTGGGTTTGATCCCCAGCACATACACAAAGAACATATATGTTCTTCTTAAGAACAGAAAACAAAGTGATTCCCATATGTACAGCTTTTTAAAGAAAAAAAATTTTTTTGTAGTTGTAAATGGACAAAATGCCTTTTATATTATTTATTTATTTTTATGTGGTGCTAAGGATTGAACCCAGTGCCTCACAAAGGCTTGGCAAGTGCTCTGGTACTGACCTACAGCCCCAGCCCTGTATACCTTTTTAAAAATGACATGTGCTTAGAGAGTTGAAGGAGGGAAAAAAGAGAAAAGGATGTACAATATACTCCACATAAACAATGTAAGCACCCAGAAAACAAGAGGGCAACTCCCACAAGACACCAGGTAGTGCCTATACAGAGGGAACTCAATACTAAATTGCTGGGAATCATTTGGCTTCATGTTAAATAGGAAATAAAAGGGCCTCTGGGTACAAAGTTTAACTTCATAAGTGCCTCCAGAGAGAGCTGATTATAAAACCCAAAACAGGAAAAAGTTCATGCTTTAAAAAAAGAAAAAAAAAAAATCACAACCAACCTGGGGAGAAACATGGTGTAAACACACTACACAGCTTTTAATAAGTAAAATTATCGAGAGAGAAATGGAGATGTCCCAAACAGAATAAGCACAAAAGAAAATAATTTTTAAATGGGACTGAAACAGAAAGGTCATCTGAAGGTATCCAGAGAAGAAAGGAATTTAATGTTTTGTCATGTGGGAACCTCCAAGGGTGAAAAAACAAAACAGATTATGTTTACCTGGAATATCCTTGGAATTTCTTTAGCATCTGCTCTGTATACATCTGTCTGTGTAACTGGTCGGACATGAAATAACTTGCTGCAAAAGATTTTTCATAAAAGAATAAAATATTACCCAAGGATCAAATTCCAATAGTTACCCTAACTTATGTAAGAAATTAAACACTTTGACCCATGTTAGAAGCTCACAGAGTATCTTGTTCTATTAATCCTTAATATTTTCAGAAATTTCCAGAAACCAAATTTTCTAATTTAGTTTCAGAAAACAATACATTATAGACCCATGAAATAAAGATGTTTCAGATAATCCTATCCTCCAGACTTTCCTGGGGAGAAGGAGACTGTAAGGAAAATAACATCAGGACAGGAGGAGCTAGCTGAGCTTTTCCATGACTAATAACAAAGAGTATTACCCTGTAAGAAAAGGTCAGGCTGACGTTCTTATCACACTTTAAAAAGATATGAGGAGATAGTCTCTAACTATTCTAGTAAAAATACTTACTCTATATCTAAAACCATGTAAGGATTAGATTGTTCTTTATCTTGTTCGCTGTCATAGAAAAGAATCTTCTTACTGCTTACAATCACATACTGTTAGAAAGAGGGAGGGAAAGAAATCAATGAATAAAGTAGTTACACACCATATTTATTGATTTTTTGAAAATACATTCTGTTAGCAATAAGAATCACAAAATACCTAAGTACCTAAAAAGTGTTAATATATCCTCAGGAAAGTCTTAAAATAACAATAAATTTGTAGCTATTTTAAATAAGCAAACAGGGGGATAAAGTCAATTACTTTTTGGACATAGCTTTGGGATCCAACAGTGTTAGTAACCTCATAAAAAAATGAACATAATGGGCTGGGGCTACATAGCTCAGTTGGTAGAGGGGTTGCCTCGCCTGCACAAGGCCCTGGGTTCAATTCCCAGCACCATACACACACACACACACAAAAAAAAAAAAAAAAAAAAAAAAAAAAAAACCAAAACAAAACAAAAAAACAATGACATCAAAATTACAGAAACAGAAGAAAAGAACTAAATGGATCTTTCTATCATATCCAGAGTTGTTTTGGATATGAAACAGCAAAAACACCAAAGTCAACAGGCTTATATTTTCCTAATTCCATGACAAACAGAAGAAAAAAAGTTTTTTTAAAATATTTTTTTTTAGTTGTAGATGGACACAATATCTTTATTTGTTTATTTTTATGTGGTGCTGGGGATTGAACCCAGGGTCTCACACATGCAAGGCAAGTGCTCTACCACTGAGCTATAGCCCCAGCCAGAAAAAAATTTTATAGTGAGAAATAAAATCACATCACTCTAAACTGGAAAGTATAAACAAGTGTTATGTGTCTAAAAGGTTTAGTCATGTACGTCTTACAACTATGAAAATGAAGTGGCTGGAGTTAAACCAGAAGGGGGGTGGGGGGGGTGGGGGAGACGAACCATATTCAAGTACTAATTACCTTTTTAACCCATCCAAATTTCTTAGTGTTGTTTCGAACAGGCAAGGAGAGCCATCCTTCTAACCTCGATTCTATAAATAAGCACAAGATTGTAAGGATAAATATGATAATTTTCTTCATATAATGAAGAATTTAGCATAATTTTAATATGGAAGCACAAGACCAATCAAATAGTCCCTTCAGAATTTATCACTGTGCATTGTCTGGGACACAAATAATGCAGGATTGGTAGAAGCAAGTTATGCAATGCCAAACAAAATCCAGGCTATTCCACAGTGGTGCTGAGGCTTCAACTCAGGAGCTCACACTCGCTAGGCAAGCAAGTGCTTTACCACTAAGCCACATGCCCAGCCCCCAGGGTGTAGCACAATGGAAATAAATAGCCTGCAATTTTATGTAGTCAAATGTCCCACTGATTAAATTCATGCACTGGCAAAAATCTAAGAGACAAGACACAAAACAACAAACAAACAACCCCCCCAAAAACAAAATCACCAAAACTTAACAGCTCTTTATTCTCACTGATAACATCTGCATTAGGATCTTTTATTTTTCTTTTGAAAGAAGACCTAACTAAAAATATAATATGCATCTTTGAGAAAACATTTTAAATGAGTAATGTTTTCAGAGAATATGGTCTTTCAAAATGGCTATAATAAAATGAAGTAAAATTGCAGCAGATGAAACTTGGTTAACAAACAACAATAAGGCGTGGTGGCGCACGCCTGCAATCCCAGTGGCTCAGTGGTTAAGCATCCCTGGGGTTCAACGCCTTATACCAGAAACAAAAAAACAATATAATCAAAAGATTTCTAAACTCCAAAATAACAAAATGAGTAAAATTCTAGTTCCACAAAGCAAAGTGTCTAAGTCCTTGGAATTTGTTCTAGTACATTTGATCAATATCTCTTCTTTGGAGGGGGGTACCGGAGATTGACTCAGGGGCACTCAACTACTTGTCACATCCCCAATCCTATTTTGTATTTTATTTAGAGACAGGGTCTCACTGAGTTGCTTAGTGCCTTGCTGTTGCTGAGGCTGGCTTTGAACTCCTGATCCTACTGCCTTGGCCTCCCAAGCTGCTAGGATTACAGGTATGAGCCACCCACTCAGCTTGATCAGTATCTTTTATTGACTTAAGTGAAATACTATTTTGGGAGGTTATTCTAACAATAGAAGTAACTGTCAATTATTTAACATCCATTATGTGTCAACTGTGTTAGAGGCTTAACTACAAGCCCCTCTAGGGCAAGGCTCAGTCAGATTGTTTCATGTCCTTTAAAGGCCCAGTGGAGTGTCCAACAGGTTTTAAGTGCTCAATGACAAACAGAAACACATTCTCTCCAATAGCATACAGGTATTTTTGCTCTGTCACTCCTGACATGAAACTTCAGGAAGAATTTCTTAGTTAAAAATGGATGAAATAGGCAATAAAACCATACACTCTTTTTTTGGGTACCAGAGATTGAATCCAGTGGTGCTTAACCAGTGAGCCACATCCCTAGCCCTTTAGAGACAAGGTCTCGCTGAGTTGCTTCAGGACCTTGCTAAGTTGCTGAGATTGGTTTTTGAACTTGAGATCTTCAGGCTTCAGCCTCCTGAGCCACAGGGATTTACAGGCATGAACCACTATCCCTGGTACCATACACTCTTATGTAATATAATGTTCTTATAATTATGTCAGCACAATAAACAATCTATTAAAATAGCAATTCATTATAAAAATGCCTTAAAAATACTTTGTTCATGCAGCAGTTCATTATTAACTGAGTCTACAGTTAGTCAGAGTTAATGAATATCAGTTAATATTATAAAAAAATTTCAAAGGGACTAAAATTAAGGGCAGCGGGGAAAACTCCAAAGACAAAGGTTTTTAGGATATCACCTGTACCATTAGGTTCCGATGATATGGGTAAGTTAGGCAAAGAGTCTTCTTCTGAGTCAGAATCAGAGTCAAGGAGCATGTGAGAACTGGAAGGCTTAGTGGCAATATTGAGAGAAGTAGAGGAACGTTGGTAGGTGAATGACATGGATTCCATAGTATGTGACTGAGTGATATGAACTAAACACCCAACATATGAGAAGTAAGAATGCAGAAAGAAGAGAAAATAAAATGAAAGCTTTAAAAGAGAGCTATAATAATGTATAACGAATTAAATATCTAAACATGTAGAGGTTTCTTTTGCATGTTTGCTTTTTTATGAAAAATATTATTTTTAAAAAAATCAATAAAAGTCCAAAATGTTATTTGAACTACCACTCTAAGAAGTAGGTTTCCCCTTAAAGACAGGATAAACATTTTTCCTCAAGAAGGAAGTTAGGCACAGGATTTAAAACAATCAACCAATTTATAATTAAGACAAACTTAAGGGCTGAAAGCAAATCTGTACCTGGAAATCCATCATCTGCCTCAGCCTCCCCTGGTCCACTGCCTATACTGGAACTATCCAGACCAATATGCAAGGCCTGCAGCTGTGATCGTAGCTGCTCAATGTCACTGTCTTTACTGTCCAGTGTCATCTGCAGTTCAATTCGAATTTGGCTCTCTTCAGCTATTTGCTGTAAGAAATTAAATTAAATTAACAAGGTAGAATACATCTCATATTTTCCATCTTGTTCAATAATAATTATTAATGATTTTTTAAAGGTTATTTGTCCTTTTTAGTTACACATGACAGTAGAATGTATTTTCATACCATACATACATAAACTTCCCATTTTTGTGGTTATACATGATGTGGAGTTACACTTGTCATGTATTCATATAAGAACACAGGAAAGTGATGTCCAATTCATTCTAATGTCTTTCTTATTCTTATCTTAATAACTATTAATAGAAATGTTCTATAAATAGTCAAACACACAGACATTAGAGTAATTCTATTTCTTAACAAGAAATCTTCAATTTAGAGTCCAAATAGTATTCTTACAGCCTGCATTTCATTTAGTTCTTTCTGATACTTGATCATCTGTTGGGTCAACTTTTCCCGTTCAGATTTAAGTTCCATATGTAGCTTTCTATTCTCCTTCTCTTTTCTTCGCACATCTGTGTCATTCCCACGCTTGACGGGTTCTTTTCGATTCATGATCTCAGCCAATTTATTCACAGCCTTAAAAATGTAAAAATAAGTATGCAAATGAAATAAATTACGTTGATCACTTCTTGGTAATTCACCAATTCCAGGTAATATAACCATTAATAATGTCCTTCTTTAAGCACAGGATTACAAAGAAACACTTCTTACACTATTTGAACACTACACTTTCTTTATTACTCATTGTCCTTCTTTATCCTAACTCATACTTGGTTTTTACTCTCATGGTTTCTGAGAACTGTAATTTAAAATATTTGTAGGAGCCTGGAAGTGTGACTCAGAGGTAGAGCACTTGCCTAGATGCATTAGGCCCTAAATTTGACCCCCAGCATCATAAAAGTCAATAAATAAATAATAATCGTTTTGATTTCATGTCATTGTCTACCATTTCAACTTTTGTTCCAAGGAAGACTTTAATAGTAAGATTTTTCTTCTTCTATCTGGAGGAACAGAATTCAGCATTGGCATCACATTAGTAAAATATACTTTGCTCAACAACAGAGAAAAGAACCTACTACCTACACTCATTTGAGCTGTATACACAACCGGAGGAACTGGCAGAGGGGTGGTTAATGATCATAGGTTTCTTTTAAAAATTTTGTCAGGCTGTTAGCAAACAGTCATGCCCTACAGTTTCCTAAAAGGCAGAACAACTTATTAGATTACAATAAAAGATTAGGAATAACTGTGATTCCATATTGGAAAATTAGGAAAAACTTTAACAGACATTGAATTGGACAATGTTAATGAAATCTAACTTCTCCCAATCTGAGAAAATTCAGGTCACTGTTCACAAATATTCATACATTCAATGACTGCTTCTAATCTGTAATGCTGGAAGTAAAAGATAAATGAAAATAAGATTCAAAATCATGTTTAAAGTCCATACTTGAGTCTTGAGTGTTCTCTCTGTTAATAGCTGTTTCTCAAACTGTGCCTTGATGGCTGCTGCACTTATCTCTTCATCTTTCAACCTTGATAGTTCTGAAACATGGGAAAATGTGAAAATTACACTGGTGACTACAGCAAGTGGTAGACATCAGATATATTAAACTACATTCTTTGTAAGTACATACGCTCTTGAGCATCTTTCAGTTTGTTATTTAATTCTTCTTTTTCATTCGCAAGATTGGCAACATCACTAGTAAGTGTCCTATTAGTTTCTTCAAGCTAAGAAACAAAAGTGGGGGAAATAAAAAAACACACCAATACACAAAATGTAAGTCATAAAACAGTAATTCAAATTGAAAACCCCAGAAAGTTGCTAAATCTCTTGCTTTTCTAAGCTTATCCATCTTTATTTTCTTGCCCATGTGCTACTTTACTAAACTTTATTATTGATGAAAATTTTGTTAGCAAATTTTATATATACCACCCAAGGAAGCCAAAAATTTGCTGTTCTTTCATAAATCCTTAGTATTTTTTAAAATGAGAAAAACATTTAAAAAACTAAGAAAAGGAAATACAAACTCTGCATTCTCATCATGCAGAATAAATGAATATAAAAACTAATATTTTTTCAGAACATTACTTTGAAACAGAAGATGAAATAGTACTGATGATGTTGATGGCCTTTTGTATTCCTTCCAAATTTTATTTCTATTCTTCCTTCCTGAAGAACATTTAGTGATTTTTAAGTCACGCTGTATTTATCTTTCTCCATTTTTTTTTTGGGGGGGGTACTGGGGATTGAACTCAGGGACACTCAAACCCTGAGCTCCATCCCCAGTTCTATTTTGTATTTTATTTAAAGACAGGGTCTCACTGAGTTGTTTAGCAACTTGTTTTTTGCTGAGGCTGGCTTTGAACTCATGATCCTCCTGTCTTCAACCACCTGAGTCGCTGGGATTACAGGAGTGCGCCACCGGGCCCAGCTTTTGCAATTGTTTTTACTCGGCATCATATTAAAAAATTAAATGGCTAATAAAAAGATCTAATTCATTTTAACAGATACAGTAATTCCATCTACCACACTTAATATATCCATTCATTCATTTAATAAGAGATTTCAGTTTTGGCTATTTACAAACATTTATGCTGCTATAAGCATTGTGCTAAGTTTCTTTAGCATACTTATCTTAATGTAGACTTTCTCTGAATTGCATTCTATGTATGGTTAAAATTTGCCGGACACTGCCATGCTATATACCTGTCTATACAATCACATACTGAATTTCAGTTCCCAGAGCAGTGAAAGAATACTGTTTTCCAGACATCTTTCAAACAACTGCCATTGTGAGGTGCTGAATTTCTGTCATTTGATGGGTGTGAACTGGCATTTCAAAGCTGCTTTATCTAGCCTTTTGTAGGAGAGCAGGAGGCAAAGCATTTTCTTATATATGTAAGTTTTCCTTTTTGACCAAATTTTCTACTGCACTGTTTAACCTTTTCTTATTGAACTGCAGGAATTCTCTGTATATTCTAGATACTACTGGTTCCTTGTTTAATAAATACATTACATGTATCTTGTCCCTGTCATTTATTTATGTTGTCTTTTGTCATATTTGTTGAAATTTGGATTCATTTCTAATAGCTTAAAATTTTTATTTTTCATATTTAGATTATTAAGTTAGCTAGAATTTACTTTTGTGTGTGAAATGGTAAGGTTCTAATTTTATTCTTTCCACATAAAAATATAGTTATTCTACAACCATTTATTAAATTTTTGTCCTTTCCTACTGGTTTGTATATTGCTATTTCCATCATATACAAGTTCCTTTATAGATTATAAAATTTCCTCTAGCATCACTATTCATTTCTAGCGGGACTGGACCTGTTCTAATGTCACACTTTGCAATTTACTGTATCATTTTGACATGTCTGCATAATTGATAGGGGAAACCCAACTACTTGATATTTTACTTTTCTTGGAAATTTTCTATAGCTAGACTGTGTGAAACAAAGGGAGAAGTAAGCGATTAACTGAACTAAAAATCTTAACAGCTAGAACATAACAATTTTTCATGTACATCTGTAATACTGTACTAGTGCTACTAAGTAATTTATGACATTAGCAATTTACTTATTATAAAACCCCAAGAATTTTACTTACAGATGCAATTGTAGCATCTTTTTCAGTAAGCTCCTGTTTGTGTCTAGCCATCATCTCTTTGATCTCCAGTTCTTTCATGATTTTCTCTTTCTCCAAATCTGAATACTGTTCTTCAGCAATTGAACGAGCCAGCTGCTCAGAATCTGCTTTGGTCAAGGTGATCTCCAGCTGGGCAGCCAAGGAGTCCCTATAATTTAGGAATGTATCATTAAAAAATTCAGGGGGTAGTGCTGGGGATTGAACCCACAGTTTTTGTGCATGTTAAACATACCTCCACCCCTCTTAAAGATATGTCATTTTAGTGTTCAATTTTCACTTTAGAAGTCCATACTTTTGTCTCACTTCATCAACACATTTTTACTTGGTGAATACAGAGCATTGTTCTAGCAGCAATATATGTATCTATGAATAAGGGACAAAGGTCTTGTCCTTACCTTTCATCCTGTAATTCCTGTTTCTTCTGCTGTAATTCTTTACAAAGTTTGGTCTTTTCTTCACATTCTTCTTTAAGTTCCCTAACTTGTGTTTTATACAGGGTCTAAGAAGCAAAACACAAAGAAATGTGTATCATGATCATCAGAAATATTATGTCTACATCTAAAACCAACCCAGAGAAATCACTGATGACATACAAATATTTTCTTAATGTTGAGTAATGTTGTGCTCCTGAGAAAATAAATAGTTTAATACGTTTTCCTATTTTCTAGTTATCAACTGATATAATAAAGTTCACTTGGGGCTGGAAGCGTAGCTCTGGTAGAGCACATTTGACATGCATTAGACCCCAGGTTCAGTACCCATCACCTTCCCCCCAAAAGTCAGTTAATAATTTAAAAGCATCATTTCCAACTGAATAATATAGTGATATTTCTTACTGAAAGGTATAGATTGGTAGGATGAAAAAGCAAGGAAAAATATTACTAATTTGTAAACATAAATTTTGTTGATTTAAATCAATGGAGCAGGGGTGATAATTGTCATTTCATATTTTAAAACTGATCTCAAAAAAGTACAAATGTCTCAGAGGCTCGGGAGACTGAGGCAGGAGGATCAAAGCCTGCCTCAACAACTTATTGAGGCCCCAAGCAACTCAGCAAGACCTTGTCTCTAATTAAAATATAAAAAGAACTATGGATGTTGCTCAGTGATTAAACACCCCTGGGTTCAATACCCAGAATAATTTTTTTTTAAAAGTTCAAATGTTAAAATGACAATTTTACAATAAAAGTGTATTATTCAAAAAGCAATGCCTTTAATCAGTTTTACAGGTGTTGTATAGCATGTGCTTAGAATTAGTTTTCTAGCAATGACAACAGAGTTCTGTTAAATTATTTACATTTCTTTTTACTCAGTATTTTTAATGAGTTATGGGATATTACACATCCCATTTAAAAATCTAATTTAAATCTAGTTTATACAAAATCATTCTCCTGGTTCTAAAACAAGAAATAAAAAAGTTCTACAAATACAGCAACTTCAAATTAATGTGTCTGGAACTTACTGAGAAATACTGTTCAGCTTCAAGTTGATCTTGGAGCTCTTTCATCTGCCCATCGGCATCCTGACGTTCTCTGTGAAGACATCAAAACAAAGGCTTAAATAAGTAAAACACATTTTAAATCATTTACTCTGAAATTATGGTGTAGGAAACCCCTGAAGCCCTTTCAGAGAATCCATGAAATCAAATCATTTTCATGCTAATTCTAAGCTCATGGTTGCTATTCCTTTCCTTGAGAGGAGATGAAATTTGATGATGTCATCAATACACCAGCTAAATGAAATGTATGCTTGTATTTTAAACTGTCATTTGGGGGACGGGGTGTAATTTGGGATTGAACCCAGGGATGCTTAACCACTGAGCCACATACCAGGCAATTTTTTTTTCATTTTTTGCTTTGAAACAGGGTCTTGTCTCGCCAAGTTGCTGAGGCTGGCTTTGAACTTGCAATCCTCCTGCCTCAGCCCCCAAAGCTGCTAAAATTACAGATGTGTACCACTGTGGCCAGCCAATTGTTATCAGTTTTAATGAACACATATGTGAGCTGTGATCTGCCATTTATGTCAAGCAACTAAGATTCATAGTATCTGAAAACTAGGTTTCTCAGGGTGAGTAAAGAATGCCCAGGAGGATGAAAATCCTGTTTTTAGATCTAAATAAGGAAAATGACACTTTTACAAATATACTGAGCTTTACCTTTATGAATTGTATACTTTCTCTACCACTGTACCTTGATTAGGTGGCAGTAGTATAAAAATTGGTGGGCAAACATATAATCTTCTCAAAAGACAACAGTAGCACTCAACATAATACTTGTACAAAAATAAAGAGAAAATGTGATCCAGAAAGTAGAATAGTCAAAAGAAAATCCCCAGATAAACTAAAATTAATATGATTTACATGTGCATAATTATGCGTATTAAAACTTTGTCTCAATTAACTTACTTTCGAAGTTCCGCATTTTGTTTTTCCAAGCTCATTTTCATTTCCAGGAGATGATTATTCTCTTGTTTTAACTGCTTTTCTGACATTTTTAGTGTGTTAACTTGCTGTGTTTGCATCTTCAGGTCATTTTGTGTAAGACAGCGCTTCTGAGTTTCCTGCTCTATTTTTAATGTCAAGTTTCTAACCTAAAAAAAATAGATTGAATACTTGGTATATAAGTAAATTGTTTTGATTTTTCTTATCAATGAAGTTGGCAGCAAATATGGTGATGAAAAATAGATTTCTGCCCTCAGGTAGCCCATTCATTTCACAGTAAAATATTTCTAAGAAAGTTATACATATGTCTTTAATTCCAGTAATGTGGGAGGCTGAAGCAGGAGGATCACAAGTTTATGACTAGTCTCAGCAAGGCTCTAAGCAACTTAGTGAGACCCTGACTCAAAATAGAAAATTAAAAGGGCTGGGGATGTGTCTCTGTGATAAAACACCCTAAGGTTCAGCTGAACCTAGTATCCAAACAAACAAAAATCAAACCGAAACAAAAAACAAGATCCCCACAGTTTTGAAGTAAAAATAACTTAAAATTATTAAATTATGATTCATTTATTATGTTATCAAAATCTAATAAAAGCAATACAGAATATTTTATATATGTATCCTACAGATTGCATAAAACATTTAAAGAAAAATTTGTGGGTTTTTTTTTTTGTTGTTGTTGTTGTTGTTATTGTTTGTTTTGGTACTAGGGATTGAACCCAGGGGTACTTTAATACTGAACTATATCTCCAGCTCTTACAGTTTGTTATTTTGAGACAGGGCTAAAACGCTGAGGCTGGCCTCATAACTTGACATCCTTCTGCCTCAACCTCCCAATTTGCTGAGATTACAGGTATGAGCAACCATACCCAGCAATAGGGAAATTTTAAAATTATAAAATATCAAGAACTCACCATTAGACCTTTACAAATAAACCTAGTTTATTATTGCTTCATTTACTAGCTTATTATTCATTAGTAAAATTCATACTTACATCCTCATTTAGCACATCTTTCTGTTTAAGGAGCTCATTTAGTTTCTGCTGTGATTGTTTGAGGTCACAATCCAATAAAGAGCATCTTTTCTCAGCCTCCAGCAATAGGTTCTCTACTTTCTGTTTTAAAGTCCTTTCTTCCAAAAGCTTCTTCTCCATTTCTATTACAGTGAGAATGGACATGATCATGAATTTACAAATAAAACAGCATATCAAAGATATGATACAGTGCCAATAAAAATGAAAGTAAATGATGCTACTTCATTATTATATTTTTATTCATTTCTAGAATATTTTTATCACTCCTCCAAATACATTTGAAATAGCAAGAATTTTATGCTTGAAAATAAAGAGTTTTATTTGCAGGGTGTAAAATGTATCACAGTTCGCAATATTACACCAATTCTCACAGAAACAAAATATTTTCATTTTGTAATTCTATAAAATGCTTATGTCTTTAAATAAATACTTTTTTACTACTTTCTGCTAGTATGTCTCTCAGTGTTACTATTTTCACTTTGAAACACTCCAGGGTAGATTCTATTTATCATGCAAGTTAACCTCTCTGGGACTCAGGTTTCTTATCTCTAGGAAAAGAACAGTATCTACTTTCCTAGTGAGTTAATACATGTGTAGCACTCGTTAATATTCATCATTTTTTTTTTTACAGTAAAAGTGTAGAAAATACACAAAATATTATCATGAAGAGTAGGATTTTGGGTCATCTTTTGCATTTTTCTTTATACATTCTTTTATTTTTGTAAATGATTAGCTGTAAACTTCTAATTTGTTTCATAAATAAGAAAAAGCTTTTAAAGTTCTTTAATCTTCAAGTGAAAAGCAAAGTTTATACCTAAAAAAGTGATTTCAATATGAATTGCAAGTCATTAAAGGATCACCTTTTGATGTACTGATTAGAATTTTAGTTCAAATTCAGTTAAGGTTCCTCCACTCCTTCATACCTATAATTATCATCTAAAGTTTTATTAGTTTAAAATTAAACCTATGAATTTTCAGTTAATGAACAGTATTTGGAAGTGAGGAAAAATGAAAATTCTTCATGTATCACTAACAATACATGTAACTACACTTGATTTTCACAGTAACCTAACAACACCATTACTGTTCCTTTATAGAAAACAAAGCATACAAAGTTTAACTAGACAAGGTCGTGCTGCTAATAATTATTTGGTTAGTATGTTCTTAATCCAAGAAGGCAATGACATGCAGCAGAAAGACCAAATGCTTCAGACCTCGATTTGAATACCATCTATAATTTTTGTATACTCATGCGTAACATACAGAAGTCATCAAGTATCTTCTATTAGTGTTGGAACAGTTTGAAAAATGGTACTTATATTACACTGGATTGGTTCACTTTCATCAGTTCAGAGTGTAACCAATAAATCAATGTACTCATTTTAGAAAAACAATCACATAATGTGGGCACAGAATAGAAAGACAAAAAGGAATATACTGAGGTGACAAATATTCTAAAGCTCAGTATATTTGTAAAAGTGTCATTTTCCTTATTTAGATCTAAAAACAGGATTTTCATCCTCCTGGGCATTCTTTACTCACCCTGAGAAACCTAGTTTTCAGATACTATGAATCTTAGTTGCTTGACATAAATGGCAGATCACAGCTCACATATATGTTGGATGATAATTACATAAATATATATTTTATTGTGCATAAATTACACTGTAATAAAAAAATTCAGTTCTCTTTACTAAGCCATGGACAAGGAAACATTGTTCATTAATTTCCTTCTAATTAGATACTTCTAAATAAAGCACTCATTTTATTTCTTATGATCCTGAATTAATGCTTTAAACAAAAACTTAATCTACAATTCAGTTACATGTAAAAATTAAAAGACTATTTTTTTGCTAAGTTGTTGAATATGAAATGCAATTTCTGTTGAGTTTTAAGCCTTTCACAAGAAAAAAGAACTTTTTTAAAAAACCATTATAATTATAAATGGTCAGCTGGGAAACCTAAATTACCCTAAAAATTACCCTAATTCCAAGATAAAAATTGGTTTGCAGGAAAGTTAACTCTGTTATCTATTAGTATCAAATGGCTCAGAGCAATTTCAGCTAGCATCTTCATCATACCTGGGTCCAAAATACTCATTAACTTATATGCTAGTTAGACCAGTGTCATTTTCAAATCTTTTTTTGGGGGAAGATGTTGCAGGAAAACTTTTAAATGTGCATACCTTTCATGGCTTCTGATTTAGCTTCTTCGATGGATTCATAGATTTTATTTTTATCTGCTAGCCGTGCTTTTGTAGTCTTATGTTCAGCCTCTTCTTGTTCCAAGCTCTGTTGCATAACTTTTAGTTGGTATGTCATATCTATTTCCATGTTGCTCTTTTCCTATTAAAGATTTAAACGAACAGCTATAAACAACAACAAAAAAAAGGCTCACAATTCTAAAAACTTTCAAAACTGAATCAGGCTTAACAAAAATGCTGAGCATCTTCCCTCCCCTCTTCATCAAAACTTTTGCTCCCTCTACTCCTTCACTCCCTCTGCCACACCTCCCCTCTACTGCTTGGAGATCTGCATTAAGACTGTTGAATATCAAAGTGACCAGCACTATTCTCAATACCAAATTCAAGACACTTCTCTTATTTGAACTCATTGCAGCCCTGACGCTGTCCCTTGGCACTGGTGATGCTGTGTTCATCTGGCTCCCATCAGGCTCTTGTTTTTCCTGCAGTTCCTCCAGCTGCCCCAGCTGCCCTCAGCTGCTGGTGTTCTTCAGCCACAATGCTTCTTGTCCTACAGCATTATTTCTGCAACTTTTAAAAACATATCTAATGTTTCCCTCTTCTATATTAAAAGGAGAAAAAAGGGAAAAACCCTTAAGATCTTCTACCATACACTTATAATCCCCACAGAGAAGTCTATTTTAACTTGAGAATTTTGATAACAGCAGTCTATTTCCTATATATACACTGTCAATATTTTCTAATTCTTTGAGCTCTATTGTTCATATCACAAATATGATGCAGGTAGTTTTTTTTTAAATAAAATCTTTAATACTAAAATGACTTTTCCAACTACATAATCTACCAACAGAATAATCTACTCTGCTCTGAATAATCACAACTCTACCCAGTCTTCTCCCAGGTGTGCTCTTTCACTCATGTGGTTTCAGCTACTTACATATACCAATGGCTCAAATATTCCTAGCTTTTACCAGAGTTTACTGCCTTGTAGACATTCTAAGGTGGTATCTCCAAAGGACTTAAGAGGACTAAAATGGATTTATCATTATCGCCTCTGCATGTGATTTTCCTTTATTCTTTATTGATTAATGACATTACTAAATCACATGTCAATATACAAACCCAGGACTCATCCTTAACTACTATTCTCATACCACATCTAATCAATTACTAAGTGCTGTCAAATATTCCTTTCTCAAATTTTTGAGACATTTCTATTTTTTAAGCCATTGCCCTAATTAAGTCTCTATTATCCCTTATCTGAATTAGTGAAAAAGGCTTCTGACTAGCCTCCTGGCCTCTAGTCTTATCCTTCTCAAAAAAATCTATTCTCTGCATTGTACACTTAACTAATGATCTACTTTACCCGTACCTCTAGTAAGATCATACAATGTTAAGTCGTTGTGTGGCTAACCCTTAAGAGTTTCTATTCTAAGTTTCTTTTTTTTTAAGTTGTAGTCAGACACAACACCTTTATTTTATTTATTTATTTTTATGTGCCAAGGATCTAACCCAGCGCCTCACACATGCTAGGTGAGCACTTTACTGCTTAGCCACAGCCCCAACCCCTTCTAAATTTCTTAATAGAGTTTTTAATATCTTACCTAATCTAGCTTATGCCTAGCCCTGTACCCTCACTCTGGCCTCTGAATTCCCCATAATCTTACATGAGGAGCATACTAGTGACCTTTAGACCAATTTTGGCTTGATGTTTATTTTCATTTTTAAATTTCACTGGCACACAGCTACATCCTTTACTCTAGAAACTGTAGCAGGGTTGACCAGTTGCAACAGAAAGTATATGGCCTACAAAACCCAAAATATTTACCATTTCCCCCCTTAAAATATTAAAATTTGCTGATCCCTACTTTGTTCTCCATAAATACTGAATAATCTGTACTTAAATAAAGGGTGCCTTGTTAATTTTCCTCCCTGCCTCTGTTCACAATATCTTCTCCCATCAGTGTACCTTTACCTTGCCAACCTGTCTGATCTTCTCAGACTGAAAACTCAGCCTATTCCCTCAATACACATCCCTGCCATATCGCTATCATTCCGCAGACCACCTTGTCTACAGAACCACATTGAAATGGAAGTAAGCATATGAAAATATTCCAGTTAGTGATTTCCCTTACTTTCAAATAACTGTTCTCAAACTCTACTGTGATTTTCTTACACAAAAAGATGCTTAGCATATCTTACCTTCTCCAAATCAGTAAATTTCTCCTGCAGTTGTCTCTTTTCCAGCTCTATTTTTGCTAGTAAGATTTTGCCACTCTTTAAATCTTCTTCTAGACCAGATATTCTACCTAAAAATTGCAACATTTAAAAAAACAACATACCTAGAAAGTTATACACATTCAATCAAGAGTAAAAAATTTGGAACCTGCTTCATTTTTTAAAAAATCTTTTTTAGTTGTAGATGGACACAATACCTTTATTTCATTTATTTTTATGTGATGCTGAGTATTGAACCCAGTGCCTCACACATGGAGGTGAGTGCTTTACCACTGAGCTACAACCCCAGCCCCACTGCTTCATATTTTGAAGCTGTTTTTGTGAGCAAAGTTTTATACTTGCTGGCATAGTGCTTTACAGTTTTCCTACAACCAGAATTTACCACCTAAGGAATTCAACACTTATAATATTTGAAAGTATATGAAAAAGTTCATAAATTAAATGAAATAATTTATAAATAAATTCAAAATTTATAAGTTTTTTATCAACATATTTCTACAACAAAGTGCTTCCTTCAGAAATGTGCTACTCTAGAACATTATCCATCATTTCAAGTTATTTCCAAAATACAAATCATTAAGAGTAATTCAAGTACAATCTATATACCTTGTAAATCATTAATTATCTCAGATCCATGGGTTCGGTCCCTTCTTTCAGATTCTAGAGCTGACTGAAGATTGATAAATTCTTTTTCAAGTTTTAACTTAGCAGTTTCCAGCAGGCAGTTTTTATCTTGTAGATCTCTATTGTTGGACTCTAGCTGCTGAATCTGTTTTGAACTTTCTGCCTGGGTTTTTCTTAATCGAGCTGCAGTATCAGATTCTGTTCGAAGCAAAGCATTGGTTTCATCCAGCTGTTATTTTATTCAAAAACAAACAAACAAAAAAAAAAACAGAGGTATTAGATGAAAATACATTCATTTACTAAAAATGTTAAAGGATTTCCTTCTAAAATTAGAGGCACAGGCCTTTTGAAACACTGCCAATTAAAATTAATATTAACAGTCAGTCATAAATAAAACTCAAATCTCTTTTTTACAAACGGAGATCAACTTACCTGTCTCTGAAGTTGATTCACTTTCTCGGTAGATATTTGAGAGTTCTGATTTCTTTTTTTCAAATCTTCAAGTTGATCTTTTAAGCTGTTAACTATATAACAAAAAGCCTTTCAGTAGCAAGCTACAATAACATTCTCTCTTTCTCTCTCTCTCACATACACACACACACGCACGCACACACACACACAGTCCAATTATTTTCCTGATAAGTATTTAATGTTATATTCCACAAACCATCATTTTCCAAATTTCGTTTTTTGTCTGCTTCATGATCAGCTTTCCGCTGATATTCTGCATTTTTGTGCTGAAGAAGTGCCTTTTCTCTTTCTAATTGTCTTAATGCTGATTCCACATTTTTCCTTAAGGTAATCTGAAATAATAATTAACATTATTATCAAAAAGAAATATGTATAAAAACTAAAACAAAATACTTCAGCTATTTCACACAGGCAAGAGACCAAATAAATAAATAAATAAACAAACAAACTACCGCTGTTTTTTAAAAACTATAAAATATATTCCTTGTTTGGAAAATATCACACTACTCTTAAACAATCAAGATCATAAATGTTTTCTTTACTATTGAATGTCAAACCTGTAACCTTCCATCACTACTTAGCCATCATTATTTTATACTAACTATGGGTCTAAAGTATTATAAATAGCAATTAAATAATAGTCCCTTTCTGTTTTTAAACCATGCCTTTAACCACAAATAGAAATGCATTTTTTTTTTTACTTGAAATATCAAGCTTGCAAAAAATCAAGTTTGCAAAAACAATAGAATGAAGCCTAAAAAGAAGTTACCCTATAATTTCAGTCTTGTCCTCCAGTGGTACAAAGTAGATTTTACTATCTTGTATCAAGATACATATTACCATGGTATTAACAGAACTCTGTAAGCCAGACAGACATCAAGGATTTTTATCAACAAATATTAACAAAGGCTGGGAATGTGGCTTACTGGTAGAGAGCTTGCCTAGCATCCATGAGGCTCAGGGTACAATCTCTCGCACAGGGGGTGGAAAAAGTTAATAAAAAGTATAGGGCAACTTTACCTCTTCTTCTAGTTCCTTTGCTGTTTTCTCTAGACGAGTATTAATAGATCTAAATAATTTCAAGAAGAAACAATAAATAAAATAATTATAAAGTTAAAAATAATTACATAAATACTTTGTAGCTATTCTTTAGTAAATGCTTGAACATTTACTAAACAGTGACACATGCCTGTAATCACAGTGGCACATGCCTGTAATCCCAGTGACTTGGGAGGCTAAGGTAGGAGGATCTTGAGTTCAAAGCTAGCCTCAGCAACTTAGGAAGGCCCTAAGCAGCTTATCAAGACTCTGTCATTAAATAAAAATATGAAAAGCATGGAGGATGTGGCTCAGTGATTGAGGGCCACTGGGTCCTAGTCCCAGTACAAACAATAAACAAACAAACAAATAAATAAAATATTTAGCTACAAATCATACTTGCACTTCTGTTCTAACTCTTCTTTGGCTTGTATCTCAGTGTTGAGGTGTTCTTCTAACGTATATATTTTTTTCTGAATCTGTCAAAAAACAAGAAACTTTGTTTTGGTTATATTTAAAGACAACAGGCTAAAAGACAACAATGAGAAGCTTATTTTGTCTGCAATCTTCACTATAATGGTATAATTGTGCCTGCTTAGTATGACTCCTACTGATAAAGAAAAAAACTCTCCCCTATTCTTTTTTCTGTCATACTACACATCTGTCTGAACACACTTATGCAAATATGAATAAGAAACTCATTTTGGCAGAATTCTTCAATGAAATCAAATTTCAAATTAATTTCTGTAATCTTCCAATACACTTCTATAGATTATCATTTGAAAATATGGTTACTTTTTTGTGTTTATGAGATAAAGATAAAAGATCTGAAACAAATATTCAGAATATTTAACTGAATATATATACTACAAAATACTATAAAATGAGAATATAAGCTCTTCTTTCATATCTTCCTCTTCCAAGTTTTCTCCTCAGTAGCTTTCCCTAGCTATGCTGGTCTTCAAGCAAACAAAATTACAATATTATTTCCTTTTTAAGGATTTAATTTTTAAGTTCCTGTGGTGTCTTGGATACAACGATAGGTATTTTACAAATGTTGTCTTGTTAATCCTAACAAAAACCCTAAGAAAATGGTAGCATTACATCCACTTGGTCAAGAAAATGAAATTCAAAACAGGTAAATACCCAGGTCAAGACAGCACAGTTAGTAAGTGGTAATGTAAAAATTAACCCAGAACTATTAGATTCCAATGCCACTATTCTTTTCATTATTCTTCCCAGTGATTATATTCTCCATGGTTTCTTAATCATTTATCTTAAAATCTCTATAAGAATAAACAGGCTAATGAACTAATCAAGTTTAAGTGTTTTGGGCTGCCACTGCATTTATTTGAGCACACTAGTTATCACATTTTACATGTTTTTTCTACCAGTTACATACCCTTAATAAGTAATCAGAAAATTACATGATGTATATTTTAAATAACAGATTCACAGTATGAATATTAAAAGAAATACTTGGTAGGGAAAAGGTTGGAAACGTCTCTCTTTGGTAGATGAAGTGCTCCAAACGGGAGCTGGACTGTGACTATATTAAAACACTGCTAGAGTGATGTTTTTTCCGCTCATTTTTCAATGTAGTTGACAACATACCTCTTGGCTTTCCTATTAAAAGAAAAAAGAATAAAATGTGTGTTATACTTTATAAAATTCCTAATAAAAGTCATACCCAAATTATCGAACCTGATTTTTTACTTTTCATAATTTGAAGAAAATGATTTTGATTTACATGTATGTGGATGTACATGTATGACTTAGTTTTGTATGCAGTTAGAAATTACAGCAGTCACAAAATACAATTTGATAGAAAATCTTTTATATAAACACAATCCTAAATAGGAATTCAGAATTTGAATCTCTCTCCTCCTTCTTCTGTACCTGATAGATTAATATTTGTACACTTTTAAGCACTAAGGTCATAAAATTATCTAACTGGCATCAGAGCTGTTTACAAACCTATTCTATCACGTGTTATTAAAACTAAGCCTAAACCAATGTATAATTCACCTTTTTACTAGCCATCCTGTGTGGAACAATGATACTCTTCATTTAATTAACCACTGTAATGTTACGGTGAACTGTATTATATAAGGAATACCATCTCATGATTTAAAAAGTAGCATCAAATGAACTTTTAAAAAGCCATGGGAGTGCTGGGCGTGGTGGCATATATCTGTAATGCCAGCTACTCTGGAGGCCACGGCAGAAGGATTCAAGTTCAAGGCTAGGCTCAGTAACTCAGCAAGACTGTCTCAAAATAAAAGGGCAGAATGAAATGTAGCACAGTGGTAGGATATCTGCCTAGCTTATGTGAGGTTCTGAGTTCAAGCCCTAGTACCGCCCACCCCCCAAAATCAAATTAAAAAGGGCTGGGAGTGTAGCTTAGTGGTAAAACCTCCCTTGCATCAATTCCCAGGACCAAAAAAATAAGAGAAAAAAATATGTATATTTGAACATGTGACTTAACTAGAGTAGTAAAAATGAATACGTACTTCATTTTTCCTTGATTGCACCAAATCATTTTCTCTACAAGATGGAGAGTCATTTAATAACCTAGAAGGGAGGAGAAAAATAAAATCTTTTGCATTTCATTTTAATCCATTTTGTCTTATTCAACCAAGTTATTCTCAGAATTAAATATTAACCACAAAGATTTCTCTTTCTTTTCACTTTATTTTAGATAAAGCAATATTTTTGCCTCTGAACACTTTTCCCAGTAATTTAAAATGCAAACTTTCCTGCCGCTCCTTCTTATCAGGTGACCAAGTCTTTAATTTTATAGGGACTTGGAGTCATTACATGGAACCCATTTTCCTCTTAATCAACTCATTTTAATTTCTTTAACTATTATATTTTTCTTCTATTCCATCTTCTAGAAAGAAACAACTTCAGTCAAAAGTCTCTTTGCAGAGCACACAACAATCATCTGCTCCACTGCTCATCCCAAGTGCCAATTTTATTTTCTAATCTTACATCCAATACTCACTGCAGTCAACAATTATTGATTTTTGTTTTGGCCAGGATTTGTGCAGAGATTATAGGCAAGAAAATCTTAGTCTCAACAAGTCCTCCAGTCACAATACAGCTCACACGCCCTCTGTATGAGGTGCACTGGACCACACTACTCTGCTCAAGATATGCTTACATTCTCAACCTTTCTTTAGCTACCTGGCTTGGCACAGTCCTGTCCTAAGTTTCCCATATCTTGGCCACTCAAATCCCTTTCCTACCAGCTTTTAAAATGCTACCTTTTCCCTGAGTTCTCACGTGAGCTTCCCCCTTAACCCACTCAAAAGAAATGTTATTAAGTTGCTTAGGGACTCTCTAAAATTGCTGAGGATGGCTTTGAATTTGGGATCCTTCTGCCTCAGCCTCCCCAGTCAACAGGATTACTGGAGTGTGTCACCACAACCAGTCCATCTCAGATTCTCTTGGCATCCTTTCCTTAAGGCAACATCACATTCTACCCTCCATTATGACTATACAATTCTCTTGTATCCTTCATGAAATGACAAACTCCTTTCAAAAAACTGGTATTTGTTCTTACTTCATATACAACAGTGCCTTGCAATAATGTGTAAGTGAGTGTAACATTAAAAAATCATATAGTAAAATTAAAAATAATTGAGAGTTTAGGAAAATCTCGAAAGTTTAAAACAAATTAACATTTAATCTCCTATAGTTCTCAAAATGTCACTTTATAGCTAGATTAGGAAAATAATAACATTTAATAATCCACATACAGATTTTCCCTATAGTAGGTAAATCCTATGAAAGGCAGCTGATTTCCCACAAAAGCTTTAGGAATTGGGAAGGTTTCTACATCTCCTTTATCATCTTCGATGTCATCAAAATTGCTGCTGTCTATGTCACTGCTGAGTTCAGGTACTACAGGAGCTGCCGCTATTAAAAGAAAAGAATTATTCATAAGCAAAATGTAAGAAACAAGCCACCTCTATGTTTATGACATATTAATATGATTAAATCATGTTTTACACAAAATCTTAGCAACACATCTTCCATTTTATCATTTCACAAAATTAAGATTTTGTCAATAATTTGTTACTACAGACCATTAATAGATTAATCAGTTATATAAGGAAAGGTATACAATATTATTCTAAGTGTCAAAAATTATAAGTAGTAAGTAATAACCTGCACATATATTCCTTAAGGTCCTTAGTTTTCTACATTCTTTAAATAGAAATATTTCTTACCCTTAAAATGAATCAATGCCATAGGTAGACAAAGTAAAAATAAATTATTATTCTATGCTTTACCAGAGTATAGTCTCCATAAATAATTATTTGCTGATTTGTTAGTGCAAATAAAATCATATAAGAATTTTCCTTGGCAAGTTAAGAAACATATAATACTTATTATAAAAGAATTGGGAAATACTAATAAGTACACATTAGTTTGCTAAGATATTGAGGAAATAGTAATTTATTTATAAATGCTGCCACAGGAAAAATTTGGAATGTAATCTCAATTTAAAAATGAGTTAGCATAAAGTGTATCAAACATGCCTGTTATTCAAAAAGTGGAATTAATTTATGAGATTTTTAAATGGAATGGAAATATTAGATTTATTGACTTACTCTCTCTTATGTTATCCCAATTCCATTGATCATTCTTAAAGAAAGGATGCTGTTTGATTTCTTCTACCCCATTTCTCCCAAGTCGTACCTCCCTAAACAATGCAGTTAAAGACTGTATTATAATAAAATAATGAAAAAAATATTAACTCATCTCAACAGTTTAACCAAAATAAGGATAAAAAATGAATAAGATTTTTAAAAAACAGCTTCAGCCTAAGTGTTTCTCTAAAATAATCTCAATTTTATAGGAATTGATTGCTCTAAATATATTAAAAAGACTTGACATAAAGCAAACAATATGGAAGTAAAATATACTTCCCTCTGTTGTTTATGTTACCTGCATGTTTCAAACTTAAAAAAATTCACATATTAAGTTTAGAGCTATACATATTTATTCTGATAAATTATCTCTTCATTTATATTAAAATTATCACTCTATAAGAAAAATATGATTAAGGATTTCATTCTTTTGACTGTTCAATGAAGACTGTATAGGATGGGAATGTAGCTCAGTAGAAGAGAGCTTTTCTAGCTCACATAAGGCCCTGTATTTGAGCCCAAGCACAGTAAGGAAAAAAAGACAAAAAAATAAAAAATAAAAAGACTGTATGGTAATAAAAAGCATTTGCTTTAAGTGTATTCCTGGAGCTAAGTTTAACAATGAACAAGAAAAATTGTGCATTTTAAAGGACATGCTCCTAGCCAAACTTATGACATTATACTATTTTCAAAATAGTTCAAAATATTCACATATAATCATCCTTAGAATGTTTCCTCTCCCAACAAGTTGCTAAAGCAAATCTACAAATTCTAATCCATTCGTTAATATATGCTGTACCTACTTTACAATGCAATCCCCACCCACCCTATTGAATCCCCAAATCTAACATTATGCAAGTTTATTTGAGTTTATCAGCATTGATTCTTCATTATACATATAATCAAGTTTTAAAGTTTTATTATACAAATGACTAACTCATAAAAATTATTTGCCTAAAGAATAAAGATAAAATAACTTATAATTGTATTTGATGAAAAAAATTATATACTAGCTGGATGTGATAATGCATGCTTGTAATCACAACTACTTGTTGAAGCAGGAGGATCTCAAGTTTGAGGCCATCCTGGGCGACTTATCAAGACTCTGTCCCAAAATTAAAAAGGGAATGGAGACCAGTGGTAGAAAGTTTGTCTAGCATGTACGAGGCCCTGGGTTCAATCCTCAGTACTGCAATACAATAACAACAACATTAAATTTGATGAGAAAAAACAGTTATTGTTTTAAAAAAAATGTGCCAATAAAGCTTCACGTGGGGGCAGGTGGTGGTGTCAATTTTATAAAAGCATTCAATTTGAAAATGTATATCCCAGGATTCTGCCTTCAAGATTTTATCCCACAAAAAGTGTGTAATGATGAATGTATAAGCATCATCATTGCAGAACTAACAGCAACTAGCTTATAAACAATAAGGTGTGCATGTTGTATATTAGAGCTAGAAAAGCTAGATAATATTAGTTACCTAATCTAAGCCCATCATTTTACTGATGAGCAAAATTATTTCCCAAGGAAAAAACATAATTTCCCCATGATCACAAAGCTGATGAATGAGTTTGGACTGGACTGTGAGCTCCTTTGCTAGGATGACCTCTATCACAAGTATAAAATATAGAAGAGGACATCAGAAGAGAAACGAAGGAATAAAATAGCTTTCTAGTTTTTTTTTTTTTTTTGATACTTAGGACTTAACTCAAGGGCACTTAACCACCGAGCCACATCTCCAACTCTTTTTATTTTTGAGACAGGATCTCACTCAGCTGGTTAGGACCTCATTAAGTTGCTGAGGCTGGCCTTGAACTTGCAATCTTCCTGCCTGAGTATCTCGAGTCACTGGGATTTCAGGCGCATCACTGCTGCTGGGCTAGCTTTTCTTTTTGAAGCAGGTTTTCACCTTTGTTCATCTATTTGTTTTAAAAAATATAAAATTTTCAGAACAGACTTGTTCATATTCAAATGTGAATAAGAGAGTTGGGAAGGAGGTACTCTCATATCAAATGCAAACAGTTTTTAAGATTATAAATTGTTAAATGCTCTTGTCTAGTATGTATGAGGCACTGGGTTTGATCCCCGACACCACATAAAAATAAAAACAAATAAAATAAAGGCATTGTTTCTAACTAAAAAAAAAAAAAAAAAGAAGAAGAAGGTAAAATGGGAAGAAGACAAAGGTTTTATTTCTTTCAAATGTGTTTAAAGCTTACTAGGGTTTTTTGTTGTTGTTGTTGTTTTTGTTTTTTTAATGGTTTTAGGCATGAGGATTGAGGTTAAATTACAACTGGGCCGCCCAACCAAAATGCTAAAGGTAACCTAACACAAGGCTCAGCAGTAGGAAAAGGCTAACCCAGAATTAAATGCAATTTGGTTAATGAGAGAGATGTTTTCCATATGTAACTAAATTAGACATGCTTTCATTTCTACAAATTTAAAAGCAATGGGGCTTCTCTACAGAGAAATCCAATGTACATTACCTATCTGTCAAGAAGGCACAGATGAGACTCTTCGCATGTTTAGAAATTTCTGCATCTTCAGGGAAACATAGTGAATTTTTATGATCCATAATTTTGCTATAAGTTCCTACAAGTGAATCTGCATAAAATGGAGTGTCCCCTAAAATTCCAAGAAAGAAGATGCTGAATGTAATAGTGGATGCAAATTAAACACTTTTCACCTAATTTTTAAATGTTAACTTTAAATTTGCCACATGCATGGAAAACAAAGACAGGAGTCCCAATTAAAACAGAAATGTACAAAAAAAACATTTAAATTTTAACTAGAGTCATGATGATCCTTCTACCATTAAAAACAAAATAAAATCAATGTTAACTCTAAAACTTGGTGTTTTTCTGTGTTTTTCAATTTACTTGTTCAAAGTTACCTATTTTCTAAAGCCCTAGAAGAAGAGGCAAAGCAAGTAAGAGAATATATTCTACTTTCAAAAGATTGCAAGATACATCTTCATGTATCATTGAACTCAGGGACACTCCCCAGTCCTATTTTGTATTTTATTTAGAGACAGGCTCTCACTGAGTTGCTTAGCACCTTGCCTTTGCTGAGGTTGGCTTTGAACCTGCAATCCCTCCTGCCTCGACCACCCAAGCTGATGGGATTACAGGTGTCCGCCATTGTGTCCGCCTAGAATTTGTTCTTAACTTAGAAAAGAAAGGGTCTTGAAGTGGGATGAGACCAGAGTATTTTGATGCCGGAGCTGGATCGGCATCTTGAGATGGGTCTCTAGAGCTGTTATACAATATAGCAGCCACTATATGTGGCAATTTAAAGTTAAACTAAAATTGAAAAAAATGAAAAATGCAGCCCCCTAGTTACATATATATCAGCCACAGTTCAGTGGCAACCACACTGGCTGGTGTAGATGTAAATTGTCTTTATCATGACAAACTGGACAGTGCTGCTCTGAGAGTCAGAGCATGTCTATTCTTCCACATAAGAGGGAGCAGGGCCCAGAGTGACTGCATGTGACCTGCCTAAAATGACAAATAGCTAGAGCCAGAAAGGGACAGAAATTATCTCCCAACATAGTGTTGTGGCCAACTACTGATTATGATAAAGAGCCCCTGAAGCAAGTGTAAAGACAGAAAATCCTAAAGGAACAGTTCTGGTCACTACCCATCAAAAGCCACATCAGGTAAAGGCCCTGCCCAGTATATGTCTATAGGCCAAGTAACTTGAGTGCTGGCCAACTTCTCTAAGTCAGCCAATGCAAAACTTCAAAAGGTATATTCAGATTGTTGTTTGAATTCAAAGGTGGGTTTGGGGTGGAGAGCACTGAATTCAAGAATTTTCTAGTGTAATTTTTTTCTAGTATGGTAGAATCTTCTAAATGAAGATCACTGACAACTAACATAAGCAAGCACTGCAGTAGGCTCAGAATACTGTAAATCACTGCCATTATACTCTAATTTAGTTCTCAGACTTGAAAATAGTAGTGGAAATCTAAATGGCCTATTCAAATGAGCCAATTTACTTGTTCAAAGGTACCTATTTTCTAAAGCCCTGGAAGAGGCAAAGCAAGTAAGAGAATATATTCTACTTTCAAAAGATTGCGAGATATATCTTCATGCTTCATCAGGTGGGAGAACAGACAGCTACTGGTACCAGATGGTATGTAAAAAGAGACTTATTACAACAACAAAGGCCCAAAACAAAGTAGGTCATACTACGATATGAAACCAAGTATAAGAAGATCAATGACACATATATTGGATCATTACTAAAACAAGGCAATTTATACCACAAAAAAGCTCCGTAGTATTCATTTAAATTCGGGATTTACTAAACATTTCTAATTTTTTTAAGCAATAATCATACTCTTATAGATTTTATACTATCAATTTCTTTTAGGGTCCTCATCTAGAAAATAAATTCTGTAATTCCAAAAACATATTTCTATCAGCCTTATGTTTAAAATATTTATAACAAATAAGATTATCCAAAAAACTCCATGTAATGTTATTAGTCTTATCGTACTTACAAAAGTACTAAATGTAATTAAATCTTAGTTATATTTTCCCTCATCCCAAGACAAGTAAAGCAATCATAATTGTCCTCATCCAGAAGATATTTTTGTGACCCCAGTGCTTAGGAATAGAAAATGTTAGAAATGAAGTCTATGACACATAAAAAAAAGTTTTGAAACACTTAAGCTTTTCATATTTTGAATTGGTCAAAGTAAAAGAAATGACTGAATTCGCTTTTGAGTTTTCTAAAACTGAAATATCAAAAAAAAAATTCATTCCACTGAATTACAAATCAAAAAATACTAGTAGTAAATAAAAGGCATACATTTTACAAAATCAATACAAAACTACATAAACCAATAAATACTGTTAGTGCTGGGGTTGTAGCTCAGTGGTAGACTGGCTTAGTATGCACAAGGCCCTGGGTTCAATTCCCAGCACCACAGGAAAAAAGTTACTTCTAGTTCTCTGTTATTGTTTGTTATAACAAACAGTAAAATCTTATATTTAAAACACTGAAAACAAATACAATTATCCCCCCAAAATCTTAGAATTGAGTAGCTGTAAACTTGTTCTTGCTCTACCATTTTCTTAACTCAAAAGGGTCTACTGAAGAAATATTTTCTAACAACATACTTTTAATTCCTTTCATGTTCTACTTATTCCACTTAATCACTGTGCCAGGTTCATGTTATTTACTACTAAATCAAAATTTCCAGAAATTTCAATCTTCCCTAGGACACATGCCATTTCCTTATATTTCCAAATCCTTGACTGAACTAAAGTGTTATGAAAGGGTTTTGAAAAAACAACAACTTAAAATATTTACTCACCTACTAGCATCTCAAAAAGGAAAACACCAACAGACCACCAATCACATTCTCGCCCATAATAACCATCACCCCCTTGTGATTTCAGAACCTCGGGTGATATATAATCAGGTGTTCCAACTGCTGTATCACAATGTACCATGCCTGTCTACAAACAGCAGAGAAAGAGACCATCATGAATATACAGAAATATCAATGAAACTTATTTGTTTACTCTTAGGTAGAGAGTGACTACACACTGCCACTAACAGAGCTTCACTGCCAACATGGCTTTGGGTACAGGGAATTGAAATGTATTATGAAATGCATAAAAATGTCTGGATTATGGGAGCCAATACAATTCATTTTTACAAAGGACTATCCTATAGTTTATACTTTGCAGAAAAATTTAATAGGGACTTATTAGGTTAAAGAAAACCTCTGAACTTGCACGGCTTCATAGAAATTAGAATTTAAAATATGAATATTATGAGACTTCAGAGCTAAACTCTTACTAAATATATACACACATGCGCGCGCACGCGCGCACACACACACACACACACACACACAAGCCTATTTAGCCTAAAAGGTTCAAAGGCAGGAGAGAAAGGGCAAGATATAAGAAAGAAATGATATAAAGTTAGACTGCGACAGATGGACAATTTAGGTTTCAAAGGAATGGAGATATATAATGGCTTGAACAGAAAAAAAAATTTTAAAAAAGAACAAGAATGACCTTATATAAAGCATGTTCATAAAGTGCAATAAAGTTCAAATCAGTTAAATGGAAAATTCCATGTGATGAAGGTCAGAAGGGAAAGTTGAATATCAGTTTCAATAACTACCTGCCTGCAGAATAAACACTTTTGAGTAAACTATGCAAATAGCACTCTCCTTTTAGAAAATTAATGTTCTACCCCCAGAATATTTGGCTAACACATTAAGGTTTTTTAAATAAATATTTGAAAAAGATATTTAAGATATTTAGGAACTATCACATGGGAAAAGTTCTCAAATTATATGGATATGGAATGTACATTTATGACAAGTCTCAGATTCTGCTTAAAAGAAATATGGGAAGGATAAATCAGAAACTAAAGAGATTGATTTAAACCTGCAGGGAGTATGTGGGAAAGGGGTAGAAAGAAGGAGTAATAGGAATAAGGTAATAAGGATAAAGAGCAAGAGACCCTACTCTGAGCATACATCTTATACAGCTTTAATTCTTAAAATCAGGGAAAAATTCACACACAAAAATGTAAAAACTGAACCTGTTTTATAAATGAATCACATAACTTCACTGTATGGGAACTGGAAGAGCAGCCCCAAGTAACTCTGGAAAACATCATTGGGGAGGGGTAGTAGTACTGGGGATTGAACTCAGGGGCACTCAACCACTGAGCCACATCCCTAGCCCATTTTATTTTATTTAGAGACAGGTCTCACTGAATTGCTTAGCACCTCGCTTTTGCTGAGGCTGTCTTTGAACTCATGATCCTCCTGTCTCAGCCTCCCAAGGAAAACATCATTTTAATAGGATACGCTAAGGCTAAAAACAAAAGAAATACATAACAATGTTAGCAAATCTGTTAGCTACAACAGTTGGGTTTGGCAGTTATGAAATAATTTTAGGTTTATACGAGGGTTGAAGAAGAAAATACACCACAGATAATGCGAACCAAGTGTTTTTGTATTTTGGTATCGAGGATTGAACTCGGGCACTTAACCAATGAGGCACATCCCCAGACCTTTTTTGTATTTTATTTAGAGACAGGGTCTCACTGAGTTTCCTGGGGCTTCACTAAGCTGCTGAGACGGCTCTAGATTCAAAACCCACCTGCCTCAGCCTCCTGAGCTATTGGGATTATAAATGTGAGCCACTGGGGATTGAATTCAGGGGTACTCAACCACTGAGCCACATCCACATCCCCAAAAAACCCAGCAGAGTTTTTTTTTTTTTTAATATTTTTTCTTTAGTTGTAGATGAACACAGAACATTTACTTTATTTATTTTTATGTGGTGCCAAGGATCAAACCCAGTGCCTCATGTATGCCAGTCGAGTGCTCTACCACCGAGCCATGACCCCCAGCTCAGCAGTTTTTTGATATCTAAGAAATTACAAAAAAGAAAGAAGACTAGAATGAACCCTGTGGTATTGGACATGAGTCAAAGGTGTCTATATGAACCACAATGAATATATTATGCACAAACAGAGCTGCAAAATTAAGTATAAACACACGTGGGAATGTGATTTAGCACATCAAGTGTATGTAACACCTATGTACCAGTTTTGTGTACTGACAGCCTAGAAGTGATGATACTCCAGGAGCAATGAGCATGTGGGCCCCTAAACACTGACTTAAAACTCTCTTCTCTAATAAAAGAAATGAGAATATAAAGAAGTGGCTGATTCCAGGGCTGAGGCAGAGAAAGTGTAAGTCAAGTCTTATATATTTTGTAGTGTCAAAAACAAAAAGAACAGAAAGAAAAGGATAATGCTCTAAAAAGAAACCAACATGTGGAACCAACCTAACAAACTTTACAAGGTAGCAAACTCTGGACCAAGTTTCAATGTATGAGCAGGAATTTTCCAGGCAGACTATTAAACCGCATATATGAAGACTAGGAATCATGAAATAATGCTACAGTAAAAAATAACTGTATGGTAACTCTTGAACTCTGTGCCATGAGGTGCTGTCAGCTGATACAGAAAGAAGGTAAAAGTAGGCAGGGCCATGTCATCATAAGAGGTTTCAGAGACAAGCTATGGAGTGGAGACTTTATCCAGCACGTGTCAGAAATCTACTGAAGGGTTTTAAGCTAGAGAGCAAGATTTTCAAGAAGATTCCTCAAAATTATTTTAAATGCATCTGACTAAATGTTTATTTGCTAAGTATATCTGGTGTTTATAACTGACAAAATTTCATAAAACAAGAGTTTATGAAAACATAAATTGGCCAATCAGAGATATTAAAGAGCTGGTCTCAGAAACCATTCAAAATGCTTCCCATGAAGGTGGAAAAGAAACATTGTATGTGGAGTTCTTCATCAGAAGCATTAAAAGCCTTAGGTGAATTGTTGAATAGGCAGGGGCTTTTCAGTCTGTTTTAATTTTAAAATTTTAAAAATGAGCACTTGCATTCTTTTCAGAGAAATACACCTGTTATGCCTTGCACAGTAGTCCAAATGGTTTAGAATCCACTTCCACTTCCACTGCTGTAGTACCCACAGCCACACAAAGCTGCCCGCCTGGATTATCCCAGTCCCCCTGCTGGGTATCACCTATTGTTTTCATCAGAGCTCTGGTTACAAAGAGGAATGGCTTCTGAATAATCTACCTGCACTGCTCCAATAATTCAGCAATTACTCCAATTTCTGTTCTTTTTTAATATACATTTTTCAGAAAAAAGAGGTTTTTTTTTTCCAGAAACATGAGTAGCCACACCTATATTTTAAAAATTGATGTCACTTGTAGAAGAGTTAAGACATGAACAATTTATTAATTAGCTTTTTAAAACATACAGTAATTTATATCAAGAAGATAGTGCACCACGATCAAGTGGGATTCATTCCAGGGATGCAAGGTTGTTTCAATATATGGAGATCAATAAACACAATTCATCATATTAATAGACTTAAAAAAAGAAAAAATACAGCAACTTAATCAAATGGTACACATTAGAACATGTCATAAAAGGTGGTAAAGGTTTTGAAAGAGAGGACAGACAATGAATGAGGCCAACACATCCAATTAATGTAAGTCATTTAAAACAATTGTTCTCAGCTGTTAGAAACCTCCACATGCAATATACAATATGACTCTCACATCCAGGTAGAGGGTGTGTGTGTGTGTGTGTGTGTGTGTGTGGTGGTGTGGTGGTGTGTTTTGCAGTGTTGTGGGGGTGCTAAACTCAGGAGCTTATGCATTCTAGGCAAGGTTTTACCACTGAGCTGCACCCCAAGCGCTAAGTAAGTTTTTTTCTTTTTTTTCTCTGAGAGAGAGAATAACAGAATGGTATCCAGAAAATGGTGATTAACTATTTATTTATTTATCTATGTCAGAAATCAGAGAAACACCAACTCTTAATTGTGATAGAACCAACTTACTTTAGTTCTTCTAAATTATAATCTCACAGTTGTGTTTTATTTTTGCCTTTATTCATGGCATAATGTTTTATAGAAAGCCAACATAACTGAAGAATGATCTGAGCATCTGGTCTTCTTATAGATAAGGGGATGACAAATTTATTCTCCAAAAGGCTAGATTATAAATTATCTCAAGTTTTCTGGATCACAACAGGTTCTGTCAGCAAGAAGTCAGTTTTAAAAGAGTCAAAAGATGCACAGGTGATTCACAAAAGAGAAGTCAATGACAAGTATATAAAGAGAGGTTTCTCATCATAAGTTGTTAAGAAACACAATTTAGGGGCCTGGGGCTGTGGCTGAGGGGTAGAGCACTTGCCTAGCATGTGAGGCACTGGGTTTGATCCTCAACACCACATAAAAATAAATAAATAAGTTTTTAAAAAGAAACAAACACAATTTTTAAAAGATACTACCTTTATACCAATGGAAATGGTAACCTTAGCTGAATAATGGGAAAAGTTCCTGAGGATATGAAGAGACAAGATCTGTCATGCACTACTAGGAACAGGTTATGAACATTTATAGCTTTAAGGAGATCAGGCAATATTTCATTAATGAGCCCTCTGGTATGGTAATATCACTTCTAAGTTATACTCAGAGAAACACTTGTTTTGTTGATGGGAGGGAGCTGGGGATGACCTAGGGAACAATGCCAGGGGAATAAGGCAAACTGATAAGATACCATGGAATGCTAAGCAGCAGTAGGAGGCAATGAACTAGCCAGGTGTGGTGGTGCATGCCTGTAATCCCAGTGGCTCAGGAGGCTAAATCAGGAGGATCATGAGTTCAAAGATGGCTCAGCAACATCAAGATGCTTAGCAACTCAGTGAGACCCTGTCTCTCAATAAAATACAAAATAGGGCTCAGTGGTTGAGTGTCCCTAAGTTCAATCCCTGATACCAAAGGAAAAAAAAGAAGCAATGAACTCACCTATATTAATCAGGGATAGTTATAAAAACAAGGCTAAGTGACAGAAGTAAACAAAATGATACCAATTCTAATACTACTTATACAAACTAAGTATATTTATATCGTACTAATACTCAAAAAGCAAATGGTAAACACATTACATTGGTTGTTTATAGGGAGAGTAAAGGCAAACTAGAAACTGAAAGAAGAAAAGTGTTATAAAAATAAAATGGGAACATGTGTAGACTTCTCATGACAATAAACTATAAGCCAAGGGGTATAATTAACATGACTTTCTTTATGTGAATTAAAAAAATATATAAACAAAATTAAGCCACATTTTGTTTTTAAACAATTTAAGATATTTCAATAGCTTATTTCAGTATTTGCTTGCATGCTTGTATAATTATCTTATAAATACCATATTTCTCCTGTTCCCCATACTCTAGTACTCTATACCACTTTTTTCTTTTGTATACTAGGGACTGAACTCAGGGACTTGCACGTCATGCTCACTACCACTTAGCTACATCACAGCCCTTTTTATTTTATTTTGAGACAACATCTTGCTAAATAGCTCTGGCTGCCCCAAACTTGCAAACCTCCTATTTCTGCCTCCCCAGGTGCTGGAATTCCAGCTGTGCACCACTGCGCCTGGTAACATCTTTCTATTTTGCAAAGTACCTTTAACCTTCCTCTATAAACATGGTATGATTTATTTTGCATCCCACCCCATCCACAAAAGATTTTGATTTAATTAAAATCAGAATACACTCATGGAAGTGCAGTACATAAATATCATAGATTATATATCCCAGACACAGAAAGGTTTAGCATTCTATCAGAAAACTATTTCGTATTTGATTTTCATTATAGATTAATTTTCACTATTAATCATTTCATACTATTTTATGGTAAATGCCACAAAAGGGAGCTTTGGGAGCAATCAAAAACTCCCCCTATTAAACATTAATAAATGGTTATAGGACACAGTAACAGATTCTGTAAAGCACAACAAAATGTTAAGTTGGATGTTAAGTTTTAGCTTAAACTAAAACAGAAATGGCCTAGAAAGTATAGCATAAATTTTGAATATAACATTAAAAGAATAATCAGTTAGATTAGGATTATCAAGGAGAACTTTCTAGATGAACTAAAATCTGGGCTGATTTTGAGAAAAGACGATTACTTATAAAGGTAAGATAATCAATACAAATATCACCTGGTTAGCATAAATAACTAAAGAGGTAAAGAAGAAATTTACTTCCAAATATATGTCTTTGCTAGATAAATAACAGGAAAAAAATTAGCTATATGAGCATATTGAAAGGTTATGAAAACCATACTAAAGATGATATACACACATGCTATCAATATGTACTAACACTTGGAAGTCATCTTTTATATCCAGCAAAGAAATGCAAAAATAAATAAAATATAATACTGTTCCATTAGGAATTAAACACACTCAAAAAGAAAACGACAAAACATAGGTTTTGGAACCCAAATAAATCAATACCATAATTAGCTAAGAGGATAATGTCACTGAATCTATTTTTATAATATGGATTGTTCAATAGGTAAAGTATCACAATGGTTGATGTCCCCAAATTTATTCTATATGGTTAATGTAGAGGGGTAGGTAGAAGAAGGTGGTAACATAAAATTTCTTTCCTTATCTCCTTTCCTAAAACAAAAACATAGAAATAACAATGGTTGGAGAAATACTCAAATGCCTTAATTTAGATTATGTGTCCTAAGCCTACATCTAGGTCACTATACACATGAACCAGTTTTGATTGGTAACAAATGCTTGTTGATATTCTATGGGGAAGATAACTTAGTTTTCATTTTTCTTATATTCTAAAAAATCTAGATGAATTATTAGTAAAGGAAGTATTTTAATTTGGTTTTATTTTGTTTTGTTTGTTACACAATAAGCAAAACTAAATTTATCTTTATTTAAAACTACAAAGACCTGCTGGGTGTGGTGGCATCCTGATGAGGTATTACAATACCTTCTGTTTCCCAAAAAACTTGCTTTTTAAAAAAACTTGCTTACTTACTTCATCCATCTTCATACATGTGCCAAAATCTGCTAATTTTAGATGTCCATGTTTATCCAAAAGCATGTTGTCAGGCTTCACATCTCTGTGTATTAAACCCATGGAGTGTATTGCGTCCAGAGCAAGAACAACTTCAGCAGTGTAAAATTTGGCCCACTTTTCAGGCACATCATAATTACTCATAAGGTTTACAAGGTCTCCACCAGGCATGTATTCCATTACCATGTACAGATATCTATCATCTTGAAAGGCACAAAAGAGCTGGAAAACAAAAGAAAAGGAAAAAAAAAAAGTTTTTAAGCCTAAAAACTAAAACCATAAATAGAAAAAAAAAATCCAAAAACTATTAAATATAAAATAGAGTTAAAATTTATTAACTCTCTTATTTTAGACTTGGACATGTCCAATGGAAAAACAGTAGCCAACAAAATTTTTATATGGATACTATATAAAGCATACTATAAAATACGCACAAAATAATGCACAATTTCTCTCTTGGAAAATATAATACAAGAAACTAAGTAGAAACGTTTAAAAACAGACACAGAATAGGAATGAGGAATATAAAAGGCAAAGGAATGATAAAATAATTCACTACAGTTTAAAAACAGCTTTCTGAAAATTAAACAAACTACTGCACACACTTCACATAGAAGAGAGCTGAGAAAATAGAAGCAGTTTAGAAACATCTAAAAGGTACCAGATTCAACAGATATGAGAAGGAGTAAGCCTCATTCCCACGGACAGAATGAGTAAATAAATGAGTAATGAGTAATAAATGAGTAATGAGTAAATAAATGAGTAAATAAATAGTGGCCATACTTGGAACAGGACTAGCTAGCTCCTCTCTTCCCTTCCCCATTCTCTTGTTCATGATAAGCAGCAAGTAGCACTGTTATCTAAGGAGTGATACAAGGTTACTGCTGGTCCCCAGAAGGGACAGAAAAACCACAAATTCAAAAGTTATCTATATATCCCACCAAATAGCATGTCCAACCCCTTCAGGAAACAAGCAATGCTGACAGAAAAGATTTCTACATACAAAAAGAGAAGAGAGAAAAAATAGCATCATGAAAAAGAGGCAAAGTAATTAAAAAAAACAAAATTAATCTTCAAGAAAATACTTGGTGAGACAAACTAAGGACAGCTTTAAGAATGCAAGATCAATAATCACAAAAGTGTAACAGATGTTGCATCAGTTAAATAGTGGGCTGATATGGAAGAAAAAATCCTGAAGCCAAAGAATTAAGAACAAATTACAGACCCAGAAAACTGAGCAAAGAAGCTTTCTGTGAACACACTGAAAGATTAAGAGGTAAAATATAGACCAAGGTTAGCAACAGTTCAACACATCTAAAAGTTCTAAAAATAGAAAACAGAAGAAAAAGAAAGTAAAAATTTTCTAGATATGTATTAATTTAAAAACTAAACTGATAGTTTTGACTTTTAAATTAAATAAAGACCTTAGACAGCTAGTGTGGAATTTTCAAATAACCAAAAAGAAATATCCAAAGTTACCAAAAAGATGCCTTATATGCAGAAATACAAAATAAATACCATCAACAACAAATCTCTCATTCAACATACTAAATACAAAAGACAGCACAGCTATAACAAATGAGATGGCAAAATAAAATTTCATGTGACAAATCATTTCTAAAAGAACTGTCTAAGGATAGTTTGACAAAATGAAGAATAAATCCAAGAAAATGATTATGTGAGGCATAGGAAAGGGCAACATAAAGAGTATAGAAAATCTTACTAAGTCACAGTAATTTTTAAATGGAAGGCAGTGGGATGTAGGGAAAGAAGAGATGAAAAAGCATTATAATGCTGCTTACTGAATTGAGAAAAAGAATGTGTGTGTGTGTGTGTGTGTCTGTCTGTCTGTCTGTAGCTGTGTATAATGTGTTTTACTCCAAATGGTTGAAGGAAAGATGTAAATAAATGGAGAGATATCCCATGTTCATGGATTAGAAGTCTCAATATTATCAAAATAACAATTATCCCCAAATTGATCAATGTATTCGCTATCTAAATCCCAGGGTTCCCCCCAATCCCAGAAAGCTAATCCTAAAATTTATCTGGAAATACACAGAACCCAGAAAAGCCAAAACAATCCTGAGTCAGAACTAAATAGGAGGACTTACAGTTTCCAATTTCAAAACTCACTACAAAACTACAGTAATAAACACAGTATTAGTACTGATGTAAGAATCAACATATAGACCAATGAAACAAAACAGTCCAGAAGTAAATCCCTATAATTTATGGTTAATAAAGATTTTCTGGGCTGGGGATGTGGCTCAAGCGGTAGCGCGCTCGCCTGGCATGCGTGCGGCCCGGGTTCGATCCTCAGCACCACATACAAAACGAAGATGTTGTATCCGCCGATAACTAAAAAATAAATATTAAAATTTAAAAAAAAAAAAAAAAAAGATTTTCTGACAAAGGTGACAGAGGCAGTTTAGTGGTAAAAGAGTGTTATGGTTTGGATATGAGGTGTCCCCCAAAAGCTCCTGTTAATGTAGCAATGTTTGGAGGTGAAATGATTGGATTGTGAGAGCTGTAACCCAGTTAACCCATCCTAGTTTGAGTGAACGGGGTGGTGACTGCAAGAAGGCAAGGTGCAGCTAGAGAAGGTGGATCACTGGGGGTATGCCCTGGAAAACTGCTTCTTCCATGGGATCCCTTCCTCATCCTCTCTCTCCAACCTTGCCTGACCTTGCCTTGAGCTCAGCAGCTTACCCACAGGGTCCTTACCCCATCATGTGTTGCCTCACCTTGGGCCCAAAGCAATGAAATCAGCCCTCTATGGGCTGAGACCTCTAAAACCATGAGCCCCAAATAAAAATTCCCTCCTGTAAGTTGTTCTTGTTAGATGTTGTGGTCACAGAAACACAAAAAATGACAACAGAAATTGGTACTCAGAACTAGGGTCACTCATGTGACTAACCTGACCGTGTGGTTAAAAAATCTTTGGAGGACTGGAGTTGTGGCTCAGTGGTAAGAGTACTTGCCTAGCATGTGTGAGGGTTTGATTCTCAGCACTGCATATAAATAAAAGGATAAAATAAAGGTTCATCAACATCTAAAAAATATTTTTTAAAAATCTTTGGAGCTGGTTTGTGGGAGGAATTTTCACAAGTTTAGAGATACAGACTGGAAAAGCTTTAGAATGTTGTAAAAGGAGCTTTATGGCGATTCTGGTGGGAGCTCAGAAGACCAGAATGCCCACAGGAATGCAGACTGTGCTCATGAGATTTTCAAGGGAAATGAGGACTCTCCTGGGAATTGGCCAAGAAGTCACTCATATTATATTCTGCAAAGACTTTACACATGTACTTAGACTTTATGTGAGGCTAAATTTAAAAATGATGGACTAGGTGGGCACAGTGGTGCATGCCTATAATCCCAGCTACTCTGTAGGCTGAGGCAGGAGAAATGCAAGTTCAAGGCCAGCCTCAGCAACTTAACAAGGGCCTCAGCAACTTACTGAGACTCCATCTCAAAATAAAAAGTGCTGGGAATGTAGCTCAGTGGCAAAGCACCTCTAGATTCAATCCTAGAACAATAACAACAAAAGAACAACAATAACAATGAAAAGTATACTAAAGATATCAGTTGCAAAAGGTAGCATATTTACAATTCTATTCATTTAAAACATCTAGATGGTATATGTCTAGAAAAGGTTGCCTGGGATGAGCGGGTAATAGGGTAAATGGGCATGAAATCATTTGAGAAGGCAGAAATGTTCTATAACCAGATTGTAGTGATAGTTGCACCACTCTAAAATTTTTTTTAAAAAACTGAATAGTTTACTTAGGTGAATTTTATGGTATCAAGTTGTGCCTCAATAAGTTTAATAAAATTATTCTAAAAAACTTAAATATACATGTTAAGATGGCAAACATGGCCACTAGAACAACAGAAAAGAATCACATACTTTCCATCAGAGTAAATCTAAATCTTCCCTAATACAGCTTAAAAACAATCCTTCAAAAAGTCAGGCTGACCCACAAGTAAGTTAACAATATTGCTTTATATATAAGGGAACAAAACTGGAGTCAACTAAATGTCCATCAACAACTAAAGAAATAAACAAATTGTCATTTAGCCTTACAATGAAGTACTATTCGGTAATTATCAGGAATGAGCCATTGATATTACATTATGTTACATATTACATTACATATTACATTACAAAATCTCAAAACAATTTGTGAGTAAAAGAAAAAAGATGAGAAGAAGCGATCAGTGACCTGAGAGACAACATATAACTATTCAAAATGAAGCATGGAAGGAAAAAGAATTAGTTATCGTGGAACAACATCAAGCAGATCATATATGTGTAACCAGTCTCAAAAGGGGGCCATAGGAGAGGAAGTTTCAGGAAGAGAAAAAAATATTTGAAGAAATGATGGCCCAAATGTTCCCAAATTTAATGAAATCTATAAACCCATAATTTAAAGAAGCTCAACCATGGGCTGGAAATGTAACTAAGTGGTAGAATGTTTGCCTGGCACAAAGGAGTCCGTGAGTATGATCCCTAGCACCATTAAAAAAAGAAAAATTCTATCAATACTAAGTAAGTTAAACAAGTTAATTAAAACACTATGGTACTGGTGGTGGCAGGACTGGACAAAACAACTGAATGAAAAAGAAAACCCCAAAATAGACCCATACACATCTGGACAATTGAATTGCAACACAAGGAGGCAATGCATACCAGTGAGAGGGAGGGTGGTTCAATATTTGATGTTGGAACAACTGGATAGCCACATGAAAACAAATTAAATTTAACCAAGTAACAACATCTTCTTAAAAAATTGGTTCCAGGTGCTACAGTCTGAAAGTCTGTATCGCTCCCAAATCATATGCAATCCTAACACTAAGGTAAGGTAATACCTTAACAATAGTTTAATAATTACTGATATCATAAGACCAGCATCTTAAAAGTTATGGTTTTAGGAGGAGGGCCCTCTGGGTGGTGATTAGGCCCTGAGAATTCAGCTCTAAGGAAGGAGATTAGTTCCCCTTCCCCTATAAAATACCCCAAGGGAGCTCATTGACCCCTTTCAGGCTTCTTTTGTGAGAACAGCAGGAACATGCCATCTATGAGAAAATGGGCCCTGATCCAAGATCAACTCTGCCAATTCCTTGATTGTGGACCTCCAGTCTCTAGAATTTTGAGAAATAAATTTATGTTGTTTGTAAACTACCTACTTTACGATATTCTATTTAGTAGTCTTAAAGGACTC